TCTCCCGAAGCATGTGTCTCCCGAAGCATGTGTCTCCCGAAGCATGTGTCTCCCGAAGCATGTGTCTCCCGAAGCATGTGTCTCCCGAAGCATGTGTCTCCCGAAGCATGTGTCTCCCGAAGCATGTGTCTCCCGAAGCATGTGTCTCCCGAAGCATGTGTCTCCCGAAGCATGTGTCTCCCGAAGCATGTGTCTCCCGAAGCATGTGTCTCCCGAAGCATGTGTCTCCCGAAGCATGTGTCTCCCGAAGCATGTGTCTCCCGAAGCATGTGTCTCCCGAAGCATGTGTCTCCCGAAGCATGTGTCTCCCGAAGCATGTGTCTCCCGAAGCATGTGTCTCCCGAAGCATGTGTCTCCCGAAGCATGTGTCTCCCGAAGCATGTGTCTCCCGAAGCATGTGTCTTTCGAAGCATGTGTCTCCCGAAGCATGTGTCTCCCGAAGCATGTGTCTCCCGAAGCATGTGTCTCCCGAAGCATGTGTCTCCCGAAGCATGTGTCTCCCGAAGCATGTGTCTCCCGAAGCATGTGTCTCCCGAAGCATGTGTCTCCCGAAGCATGTGTCTCCCGAAGCATGTGTCTCCCGAAGCATGTGTCTCCCGAAGCATGTGTCTCCCGAAGCATGTGTCTCCCGAAGCATGTGTCTCCCGAAGCATGTGTCTCCCGAAGCATGTGTCTCCCGAAGCATGTGTCTCCCGAAGCATGTGTCTCCCGAAGCATGTGTCTCCCGAAGCATGTGTCTCCCGAAGCATGTGTCTCCCGAAGCATGTGTCTCCCGAAGCATGTGTCTCCCGAAGCATGTGTCTCCCGAAGCATGTGTCTCCCGAAGCATGTGTCTCCCGAAGCATGTGTCTCCCGAAGCATGTGTCTCCCGAAGCATGTGTCTCCCGAAGCATGTGTCTCCCGAAGCATGTGTCTCCCGAAGCATGTGTCTCCCGAAGCATGTGTCTCCCGAAGCATGTGTCTCCCGAAGCATGTGTCTCCCGAAGCATGTGTCTCCCGAAGCATGTGTCTCCCGAAGCATGTGTCTCCCGAAGCATGTGTCTCCCGAAGCATGTGTCTCCCGAAGCATGTGTCTCCCGAAGCATGTGTCTCCCGAAGCATGTGTCTCCCGAAGCATGTGTCTCCCGAAGCATGTGTCTCCCGAAGCATGTGTCTCCCGAAGCATGTGTCTCCCGAAGCATGTGTCTCCCGAAGCATGTGTCTCCCGAAGCATGTGTCTCCCGAAGCATGTGTCTCCCGAAGCATGTGTCTCCCGAAGCATGTGTCTCCCGAAGCATGTGTCTCCCGAAGCATGTGTCTCCCGAAGCATGTGTCTCCCGAAGCATGTGTCTCCCGAAGCATGTGTCTCCCGAAGCATGTGTCTCCCGAAGCATGTGTCTCCCGAAGCATGTGTCTCCCGAAGCATGTGTCTCCCGAAGCATGTGTCTCCCGAAGCATGTGTCTCCCGAAGCATGTGTCTCCCGAAGCATGTGTCTCCCGAAGCATGTGTCTCCCGAAGCATGTGTCTCCCGAAGCATGTGTCTCCCGAAGCATGTGTCTCCCGAAGCATGTGTCTCCCGAAGCATGTGTCTCCCGAAGCATGTGTCTCCCGAAGCATGTGTCTCCCGAAGCATGTGTCTCCCGAAGCATGTGTCTCCCGAAGCATGTGTCTCCCGAAGCATGTGTCTCCCGAAGCATGTGTCTCCCGAAGCATGTGTCTCCCGAAGCATGTGTCTCCCGAAGCATGTGTCTTTCGAAGCATGTGTCTCCCGAAGCATGTGTCTCCCGAAGCATGTGTCTCCCGAAGCATGTGTCTCCCGAAGCATGTGTCTCCCGAAGCATGTGTCTCCCGAAGCATGTGTCTCCCGAAGCATGTGTCTCCCGAAGCATGTGTCTCCCGAAGCATGTGTCTCCCGAAGCATGTGTCTCCCGAAGCATGTGTCTCCCGAAGCATGTGTCTCCCGAAGCATGTGTCTCCCGAAGCATGTGTCTCCCGAAGCATGTGTCTCCCGAAGCATGTGTCTCCCGAAGCATGTGTCTCCCGAAGCATGTGTCTCCCGAAGCATGTGTCTCCCGAAGCATGTGTCTCCCGAAGCATGTGTCTCCCGAAGCATGTGTCTCCCGAAGCATGTGTCTCCCGAAGCATGTGTCGGCCTCTCGAAGCATGTGTCTCCCGAAGCATGTGTCTCCCGAAGCATGTGTCTCCCGAAGCATGTGTCTCCCGAAGCATGTGTCTCCCGAAGCATGTGTCTCCCGAAGCATGTGTCTCCCGAAGCATGTGTCTCCCGAAGCATGTGTCTCCCGAAGCATGTGTCTCCCGAAGCATGTGTCTCCCGAAGCATGTGTCTCCCGAAGCATGTGTCTCCCGAAGCATGTGTCTCCCGAAGCATGTGTCTCCCGAAGCATGTGTCTCCCGAAGCATGTGTCTCCCGAAGCATGTGTCTCCCGAAGCATGTGTCTCCCGAAGCATGTGTCTCCCGAAGCATGTGTCTCCCGAAGCATGTGTCTCCCGAAGCATGTGTCTCCCGAAGCATGTGTCTCCCGAAGCATGTGTCTCCCGAAGCATGTGTCTCCCGAAGCATGTGTCTCCCGAAGCATGTGTCTCCCGAAGCATGTGTCTCCCGAAGCATGTGTCTCCCGAAGCATGTGTCTCCCGAAGCATGTGTCTCCCGAAGCATGTGTCTCCCGAAGCATGTGTCTCCCGAAGCATGTGTCTCCCGAAGCATGTGTCTCCCGAAGCATGTGTCTCCCGAAGCATGTGTCTCCCGAAGCATGTGTCTCCCGAAGCATGTGTCTCCCGAAGCATGTGTCTCCCGAAGCATGTGTCTCCCGAAGCATGTGTCTCCCGAAGCATGTGTCTCCCGAAGCATGTGTCTCCCGAAGCATGTGTCTCCCGAAGCATGTGTCTCCCGAAGCATGTGTCTCCCGAAGCATGTGTCTCCCGAAGCATGTGTCTCCCGAAGCATGTGTCTCCCGAAGCATGTGTCTCCCGAAGCATGTGTCTCCCGAAGCATGTGTCTCCCGAAGCATGTGTCTCCCGAAGCATGTGTCTCCCGAAGCATGTGTCTCCCGAAGCATGTGTCTCCCGAAGCATGTGTCTCCCGAAGCATGTGTCTCCCGAAGCATGTGTCTCCCGAAGCATGTGTCTCCCGAAGCATGTGTCTCCCGAAGCATGTGTCTCCCGAAGCATGTGTCTCCCGAAGCATGTGTCTCCCGAAGCATGTGTCTCCCGAAGCATGTGTCTCCCGAAGCATGTGTCTCCCGAAGCATGTGTCTCCCGAAGCATGTGTCTCCCGAAGCATGTGTCTCCCGAAGCATGTGTCTCCCGAAGCATGTGTCTCCCGAAGCATGTGTCTCCCGAAGCATGTGTCTCCCGAAGCATGTGTCTCCCGAAGCATGTGTCTCCCGAAGCATGTGTCTCCCGAAGCATGTGTCTCCCGAAGCATGTGTCTCCCGAAGCATGTGTCTCCCGAAGCATGTGTCTCCCGAAGCATGTGTCTCCCGAAGCATGTGTCTCCCGAAGCATGTGTCTCCCGAAGCATGTGTCTCCCGAAGCATGTGTCTCCCGAAGCATGTGTCTCCCGAAGCATGTGTCTCCCGAAGCATGTGTCTCCCGAAGCATGTGTCTCCCGAAGCATGTGTCTCCCGAAGCATGTGTCTCCCGAAGCATGTGTCTCCCGAAGCATGTGTCTCCCGAAGCATGTGTCTCCCGAAGCATGTGTCTCCCGAAGCATGTGTCTCCCGAAGCATGTGTCTCCCGAAGCATGTGTCTCCCGAAGCATGTGTCTCCCGAAGCATGTGTCTCCCGAAGCATGTGTCTCCCGAAGCATGTGTCTCCCGAAGCATGTGTCTCCCGAAGCATGTGTCTCCCGAAGCAGGCCTCAACGCGAGAAGACAGGCGGAGCAGCACATCCACACAAAGCGCCGTAACAGAAAGGGCGGAGAGGAAATGGCACAGCAACGTTGTTCACTCAGACTGATCGGTTGAACCAGTCGCCTGAGTTGTAGGAGTCCCTGTCGAGCGACTTGGAGCGCAGCACTGGCCATTGCACCAGCCTTCCCTCAGCACTGGCCATTGCACCAGCCTTCCCTCAGCACTGGCCATTGCACCAGCCTTCCCTCAGCACTGGCCATTGCACCAGCCTTCCCTCAGCACTGGCCATTGCACCAGCCTTCCCTCAGCACTGGCCATTGCACCAGCCTTCCCTCAGCACTGGCCATTGCACCAGCCTTCCCTCAGCACTGGCCATTGCACCAGCCTTCCCTCAGCACAACAGCAGTGCTCACTTGACACCGACCCAGAGAGCTCTCAGTGACTCAGTCTGCACTCCCCACTCACCGGTTGAACCAGTCGCCCGAGTTGTAGGAGTCTCTGTCGAGCGACTTGGAGCGCAGCAGGTCATCGCCTGCGTGGATGAAGGGCACGCCCTGCCCCCACGCCACCACCGCCATGCCCACTCGGTTCATGGCAATGCGCTGCTGAAGGGTTGCTGCTGCTGCCGCCTGGTGGGTGGGGATGGGGAAGAGTGTGGAGGGCGGGAGGGAATGGGAGAGGGCGTGGACAATGTTTGAGATGTCTCGGGATGTCCCCCACGCCCTTCCCCCACGCCACCACTGCCATGCCCATGCATTTTATTGCCATGCGCTGCTGGGGGGCCACTGCTTCTGGTGCGTGGTGGGTAGGGATGGGAGATAGCGTGGATGGGCGGGCGCAGAATCAAAGAAGCGAAGAAACGCAAAGGAACAGAGGTGCAGAGGGCAAGGGGAGGATGCAAAGTGGCACTGAGTGTTGGGGATATGAATATAGGTGGTGCAAGAGCAGAGAAGCAGAGGCGCAGTCCTCACAAGAAGGTGCTGACACGAGATGGTGGCATGAGAGGCAGGCAGGGAAGGTGGTACCTTGATGGTGATGATGTCAAAGAGAGTCTCGTTGTCATGCGCTGATATGTACGTCACCTGTACACGCACGTGCACATGCACATGCAGTGGCGAGGGGGATGAACCGCAGCAGATTGCACAGCATGTGTGGGACACAACACAGCACAGCACAGCAGGGCGCAAAGCTCGCAAGTATGAATATGTACGTGCTGGTGCAGTGGGACACACAGACAGAGCACATGCTTGGAAGTGCAGTGCACATGCACGGTGGGCAGGAAGGGAGGCCGCGGTCAGCATGGCGTGCAGGGCAAGGCAAGCACGGCGCAAACGTCACTCAATTCATGTCAGCGTTACCAATTCATGTCAGCGTTACCAATTCATGTCAGCGTTACCAATTCATGTCAGCGTTACCAATTCATGTCAGCGTTACCGATTCATGTCAGCGTTACCGATTCATGTCAGCGTTACCCACTCATGTCAGCGTTACCAACTCATGTCAGCGTTACCAACTCATGTCAGCGTTACCAACTCATGTCAGCGTTACCAATTCATGTCAGCGTTACCAATTCATGTCAGCGTTACCAATTCATGTCAGCGTTACCAATTCATGTCAGCGTTACCAATTCATGTCAGCGTTACCAATTCATGTCAGCGTTACCAATTCATGTCAGCGTTACCAATTCATGTCAGCGTTACCAATTCATGTCAGCGTTACCAATTCATGTCAGCGTTACCAATTCATGTCAGCGTTACCAATTCATGTCAGCGTTACCAATTCATGTCAGCGTTACCAATTCATGTCAGCGTTACCAATTCATGTCAGCGTTACCAATTCATGTCAGCGTTACCAATTCATGTCAGCGTTACCAATTCATGTCAGCGTTACCAATTCATGTCAGCGTTACCAATTCATGTCAGCGTTACCAATTCATGTCAGCGTTACCAATTCATGTCAGCGTTACCAATTCATGTCAGCGTTACCAATTCATGTCAGCGTTACCAATTCATGTCAGCGTTACCAATTCATGTCGGCGTTACCAATTCATGTCGGCGTTACCAATTCATGTCGGCGTTACCAATTCATGTCGGCGTTACCAATTCATGTCGGCGTTACCAATTCATGTCGGCGTTACCAATTCATGTCGGCGTTACCAATTCATGTCAGCGTTACCAATTCATGTCAGCGTTACCAATTCATGTCAGCGTTACCAATTCATGTCAGCGTTACCAATTCATGTCAGCGTTACCAATTCATGTCAGCGTTACCAATTCATGTCAGCGTTACCAATTCATGTCAGCGTTACCAATTCATGTCAGCGTTACCAATTCATGTCAGCGTTACCAATTCATGTCAGCGTTACCAATTCATGTCAGCGTTACCAATTCATGTCAGCGTTACCAATTCATGTCAGCGTTACCAATTCATGTCAGCGTTACCAATTCATGTCAGCGTTACCAATTCATGTCAGCGTTACCAATTCATGTCAGCGTTACCAATTCATGTCAGCGTTACCAATTCATGTCAGCGTTACCAATTCATGTCAGCGTTACCAATTCATGTCAGCGTTACCAATTCATGTCAGCGTTACCAATTCATGTCAGCGTTACCAATTCATGTCAGCGTTACCAATTCATGTCAGCGTTACCAATTCATGTCAGCGTTACCAATTCATGTCAGCGTTACCAATTCATGTCAGCGTTACCAATTCATGTCAGCGTTACCAATTCATGTCAGCGTTACCAATTCATGTCAGCGTTACCAATTCATGTCAGCGTTACCAATTCATGTCAGCGTTACCAATTCATGTCAGCGTTACCAATTCATGTCAGCGTTACCAATTCATGTCGGCGTTACCAATTCATGTCGGCGTTACCAATTCATGTCGGCGTTACCAATTCATGTCGGCGTTACCAATTCATGTCGGCGTTACCAATTCATGTCGGCGTTACCAATTCATGTCGGCGTTACCAATTCATGTCGGCGTTACCAATTCATGTCGGCGTTACCAATTCATGTCGGCGTTACCAATTCATGTCGGCGTTACCAATTCATGTCGGCGTTACCAATTCATGTCGGCGTTACCAATTCATGTCGGCGTTACCAATTCATGTCGGCGTTACCAATTCATGTCGGCGTTACCAATTCATGTCAGCGTTACCAATTCATGTCAGCGTTACCAATTCATGTCAGCGTTACCAATTCATGTCAGCGTTACCAATTCATGTCAGCGTTACCAATTCATGTCAGCGTTACCAATTCATGTCAGCGTTACCAATTCATGTCAGCGTTACCAATTCATGTCAGCGTTACCAATTCATGTCAGCGTTACCAATTCATGTCAGCGTTACCAATTCATGTCAGCGTTACCAATTCATGTCAGCGTTACCAATTCATGTCAGCGTTACCAATTCATGTCAGCGTTACCAATTCATGTCAGCGTTACCAATTCATGTCAGCGTTACCAATTCATGTCAGCGTTACCAATTCATGTCAGCGTTACCAATTCATGTCAGCGTTACCAATTCATGTCAGCGTTACCAATTCATGTCAGCGTTACCAATTCATGTCAGCGTTACCAATTCATGTCAGCGTTACCAATTCATGTCAGCGTTACCAATTCATGTCAGCGTTACCAATTCATGTCAGCGTTACCAATTCATGTCAGCGTTACCAATTCATGTCAGCGTTACCAATTCATGTCAGCGTTACCAATTCATGTCAGCGTTACCAATTCATGTCAGCGTTACCAATTCATGTCAGCGTTACCAATTCATGTCAGCGTTACCAATTCATGTCGGCGTTACCAATTCATGTCGGCGTTACCAATTCATGTCGGCGTTACCAATTCATGTCAGCGTTACCAATTCATGTCAGCGTTACCAATTCATGTCAGCGTTACCAATTCATGTCAGCGTTACCAATTCATGTCAGCGTTACCAATTCATGTCAGCGTTACCAATTCATGTCAGCGTTACCAATTCATGTCAGCGTTACCAATTCATGTCAGCGTTACCAATTCATGTCAGCGTTACCAATTCATGTCAGCGTTACCAATTCATGTCAGCGTTACCAATTCATGTCAGCGTTACCAATTCATGTCAGCGTTACCAATTCATGTCAGCGTTACCAATTCATGTCAGCGTTACCAATTCATGTCAGCGTTACCAATTCATGTCAGCGTTACCAATTCATGTCAGCGTTACCAATTCATGTCAGCGTTACCAATTCATGTCAGCGTTACCAATTCATGTCAGCGTTACCAATTCATGTCAGCGTTACCAATTCATGTCAGCGTTACCAATTCATGTCAGCGTTACCAATTCATGTCAGCGTTACCAATTCATGTCAGCGTTACCAATTCATGTCAGCGTTACCAATTCATGTCAGCGTTACCAATTCATGTCAGCGTTACCAATTCATGTCAGCGTTACCAATTCATGTCAGCGTTACCAATTCATGTCAGCGTTACCAATTCATGTCAGCGTTACCAATTCATGTCAGCGTTACCAATTCATGTCAGCGTTACCAATTCATGTCAGCGTTACCAATTCATGTCAGCGTTACCAATTCATGTCAGCGTTACCAATTCATGTCAGCGTTACCAATTCATGTCAGCGTTACCAATTCATGTCAGCGTTACCAATTCATGTCAGCGTTACCAATTCATGTCGGCGTTACCAATTCATGTCGGCGTTACCAATTCATGTCGGCGTTACCAATTCATGTCGGCGTTACCAATTCATGTCGGCGTTACCAATTCATGTCGGCGTTACCAATTCATGTCGGCGTTACCAATTCATGTCAGCGTTACCAATTCATGTCAGCGTTACCAATTCATGTCAGCGTTACCAATTCATGTCAGCGTTACCAATTCATGTCAGCGTTACCAATTCATGTCAGCGTTACCAATTCATGTCAGCGTTACCAATTCATGTCAGCGTTACCAATTCATGTCAGCGTTACCAATTCATGTCAGCGTTACCAATTCATGTCAGCGTTACCAATTCATGTCAGCGTTACCAATTCATGTCAGCGTTACCAATTCATGTCAGCGTTACCAATTCATGTCAGCGTTACCAATTCATGTCAGCGTTACCAATTCATGTCAGCGTTACCAATTCATGTCAGCGTTACCAATTCATGTCAGCGTTACCAATTCATGTCAGCGTTACCAATTCATGTCAGCGTTACCAATTCATGTCAGCGTTACCAATTCATGTCAGCGTTACCAATTCATGTCAGCGTTACCAATTCATGTCAGCGTTACCAATTCATGTCAGCGTTACCAATTCATGTCAGCGTTACCAATTCATGTCAGCGTTACCAATTCATGTCAGCGTTACCAATTCATGTCAGCGTTACCAATTCATGTCAGCGTTACCAATTCATGTCAGCGTTACCAATTCATGTCAGCGTTACCAATTCATGTCAGCGTTACCAATTCATGTCAGCGTTACCAATTCATGTCAGCGTTACCAATTCATGTCAGCGTTACCAATTCATGTCGGCGTTACCAATTCATGTCGGCGTTACCAATTCATGTCGGCGTTACCAATTCATGTCGGCGTTACCAATTCATGTCGGCGTTACCAATTCATGTCGGCGTTACCAATTCATGTCGGCGTTACCAATTCATGTCGGCGTTACCAATTCATGTCGGCGTTACCAATTCATGTCGGCGTTACCAATTCATGTCGGCGTTACCAATTCATGTCGGCGTTACCAATTCATGTCGGCGTTACCAATTCATGTCGGCGTTACCAATTCATGTCGGCGTTACCAATTCATGTCAGCGTTACCAATTCATGTCAGCGTTACCAATTCATGTCAGCGTTACCAATTCATGTCAGCGTTACCAATTCATGTCAGCGTTACCAATTCATGTCAGCGTTACCAATTCATGTCAGCGTTACCAATTCATGTCAGCGTTACCAATTCATGTCAGCGTTACCAATTCATGTCAGCGTTACCAATTCATGTCAGCGTTACCAATTCATGTCAGCGTTACCAATTCATGTCGGCGTTACCAATTCATGTCGGCGTTACCAATTCATGTCAGCGTTACCAATTCATGTCAGCGTTACCAATTCATGTCAGCGTTACCAATTCATGTCAGCGTTACCAATTCATGTCAGCGTTACCAATTCATGTCAGCGTTACCAATTCATGTCAGCGTTACCAATTCATGTCAGCGTTACCAATTCATGTCAGCGTTACCAATTCATGTCAGCGTTACCAATTCATGTCAGCGTTACCAATTCATGTCAGCGTTACCAATTCATGTCAGCGTTACCAATTCATGTCAGCGTTACCAATTCATGTCAGCGTTACCAATTCATGTCAGCGTTACCAATTCATGTCAGCGTTACCAATTCATGTCAGCGTTACCAATTCATGTCAGCGTTACCAATTCATGTCAGCGTTACCAATTCATGTCAGCGTTACCAATTCATGTCAGCGTTACCAATTCATGTCAGCGTTACCAATTCATGTCAGCGTTACCAATTCATGTCAGCGTTACCAATTCATGTCAGCGTTACCAATTCATGTCAGCGTTACCAATTCATGTCAGCGTTACCAATTCATGTCAGCGTTACCAATTCATGTCAGCGTTACCAATTCATGTCAGCGTTACCAATTCATGTCAGCGTTACCAATTCATGTCAGCGTTACCAATTCATGTCAGCGTTACCAATTCATGTCAGCGTTACCAATTCATGTCAGCGTTACCAATTCATGTCAGCGTTACCAATTCATGTCAGCGTTACCAATTCATGTCAGCGTTACCAATTCATGTCAGCGTTACCAATTCATGTCAGCGTTACCAATTCATGTCAGCGTTACCAATTCATGTCAGCGTTACCAATTCATGTCAGCGTTACCAATTCATGTCAGCGTTACCAATTCATGTCAGCGTTACCAATTCATGTCAGCGTTACCAATTCATGTCAGCGTTACCAATTCATGTCAGCGTTACCAATTCATGTCGGCGTTACCAATTCATGTCGGCGTTACCAATTCATGTCGGCGTTACCAATTCATGTCGGCGTTACCAATTCATGTCGGCGTTACCAATTCATGTCGGCGTTACCAATTCATGTCAGCGTTACCAATTCATGTCAGCGTTACCAATTCATGTCGGCGTTACCAATTCATGTCAGCGTTACCAATTCATGTCAGCGTTACCAATTCATGTCAGCGTTACCAATTCATGTCAGCGTTACCAATTCATGTCAGCGTTACCAATTCATGTCAGCGTTACCAATTCATGTCAGCGTTACCAATTCATGTCAGCGTTACCAATTCATGTCAGCGTTACCAATTCATGTCAGCGTTACCAATTCATGTCAGCGTTACCAATTCATGTCGGCGTTACCAATTCATGTCGGCGTTACCAATTCATGTCGGCGTTACCAATTCATGTCAGCGTTACCAATTCATGTCAGCGTTACCAATTCATGTCAGCGTTACCAATTCATGTCAGCGTTACCAATTCATGTCAGCGTTACCAATTCATGTCAGCGTTACCAATTCATGTCAGCGTTACCAATTCATGTCAGCGTTACCAATTCATGTCAGCGTTACCAATTCATGTCAGCGTTACCAATTCATGTCAGCGTTACCAATTCATGTCAGCGTTACCAATTCATGTCAGCGTTACCAATTCATGTCAGCGTTACCAATTCATGTCAGCGTTACCAATTCATGTCAGCGTTACCAATTCATGTCAGCGTTACCAATTCATGTCAGCGTTACCAATTCATGTCAGCGTTACCAATTCATGTCAGCGTTACCAATTCATGTCAGCGTTACCAATTCATGTCAGCGTTACCAATTCATGTCAGCGTTACCAATTCATGTCAGCGTTACCAATTCATGTCAGCGTTACCAATTCATGTCAGCGTTACCAATTCATGTCAGCGTTACCAATTCATGTCAGCGTTACCAATTCATGTCAGCGTTACCAATTCATGTCAGCGTTACCAATTCATGTCAGCGTTACCAATTCATGTCAGCGTTACCAATTCATGTCAGCGTTACCAATTCATGTCAGCGTTACCAATTCATGTCAGCGTTACCAATTCATGTCAGCGTTACCAATTCATGTCAGCGTTACCAATTCATGTCAGCGTTACCAATTCATGTCAGCGTTACCAATTCATGTCAGCGTTACCAATTCATGTCAGCGTTACCAATTCATGTCAGCGTTACCAATTCATGTCAGCGTTACCAATTCATGTCAGCGTTACCAATTCATGTCAGCGTTACCAATTCATGTCAGCGTTACCAATTCATGTCAGCGTTACCAATTCATGTCAGCGTTACCAATTCATGTCAGCGTTACCAATTCATGTCAGCGTTACCAATTCATGTCAGCGTTACCAATTCATGTCAGCGTTACCAATTCATGTCAGCGTTACCAATTCATGTCAGCGTTACCAATTCATGTCAGCGTTACCAATTCATGTCAGCGTTACCAATTCATGTCGGCGTTACCAATTCATGTCGGCGTTACCAATTCAAGTCCGCGTTACCAACTCATGTCAGCGTTACCAATTCATGTCAGCGTTACCAATTCATGTCAGCGTTACCAATTCATGTCAGCGTTACCAATTCATGTCAGCGTTACCAATTCATGTCAGCGTTACCAATTCATGTCAGCGTTACCAATTCATGTCAGCGTTACCAATTCATGTCAGCGTTACCAATTCATGTCAGCGTTACCAATTCATGTCAGCGTTACCAATTCATGTCAGCGTTACCAATTCATGTCAGCGTTACCAATTCATGTCAGCGTTACCAATTCATGTCAGCGTTACCAATTCATGTCAGCGTTACCAATTCATGTCAGCGTTACCAATTCATGTCGGCGTTACCAATTCATGTCAGCGTTACCAATTCATGTCAGCGTTACCAATTCATGTCAGCGTTACCAATTCATGTCGGCGTTACCAATTCATGTCGGCGTTACCAATTCATGTCAGCGTTACCAATTCATGTCAGCGTTACCAATTCATGTCAGCGTTACCAATTCATGTCAGCGTTACCAATTCATGTCAGCGTTACCAATTCATGTCAGCGTTACCAATTCATGTCAGCGTTACCAATTCATGTCAGCGTTACCAATTCATGTCAGCGTTACCAATTCATGTCAGCGTTACCAATTCATGTCAGCGTTACCAATTCATGTCAGCGTTACCAATTCATGTCAGCGTTACCAATTCATGTCAGCGTTACCAATTCATGTCAGCGTTACCAATTCATGTCAGCGTTACCAATTCATGTCAGCGTTACCAATTCATGTCAGCGTTACCAATTCATGTCAGCGTTACCAATTCATGTCAGCGTTACCAATTCATGTCAGCGTTACCAATTCATGTCAGCGTTACCAATTCATGTCAGCGTTACCAATTCATGTCAGCGTTACCAATTCATGTCAGCGTTACCAATTCATGTCAGCGTTACCAATTCATGTCAGCGTTACCAATTCATGTCAGCGTTACCAATTCATGTCAGCGTTACCAATTCATGTCAGCGTTACCAATTCATGTCAGCGTTACCAATTCATGTCAGCGTTACCAATTCATGTCAGCGTTACCAATTCATGTCAGCGTTACCAATTCATGTCAGCGTTACCAATTCATGTCAGCGTTACCAATTCATGTCAGCGTTACCAATTCATGTCAGCGTTACCAATTCATGTCAGCGTTACCAATTCATGTCAGCGTTACCAATTCATGTCAGCGTTACCAATTCATGTCAGCGTTACCAATTCATGTCAGCGTTACCAATTCATGTCAGCGTTACCAATTCATGTCAGCGTTACCAATTCATGTCAGCGTTACCAATTCATGTCAGCGTTACCAATTCATGTCAGCGTTACCAATTCATGTCAGCGTTACCAATTCATGTCAGCGTTACCAATTCATGTCGGCGTTACCAATTCATGTCGGCGTTACCAATTCAAGTCCGCGTTACCAACTCATGTCAGCGTTACCAATTCATGTCAGCGTTACCAATTCATGTCAGCGTTACCAATTCATGTCAGCGTTACCAATTCATGTCAGCGTTACCAATTCATGTCAGCGTTACCAATTCATGTCAGCGTTACCAATTCATGTCAGCGTTACCAATTCATGTCAGCGTTACCAATTCATGTCAGCGTTACCAATTCATGTCAGCGTTACCAATTCATGTCAGCGTTACCAATTCATGTCAGCGTTACCAATTCATGTCAGCGTTACCAATTCATGTCAGCGTTACCAATTCATGTCAGCGTTACCAATTCATGTCAGCGTTACCAATTCATGTCAGCGTTACCAATTCATGTCAGCGTTACCAATTCATGTCAGCGTTACCAATTCATGTCAGCGTTACCAATTCATGTCAGCGTTACCAATTCATGTCAGCGTTACCAATTCATGTCAGCGTTACCAATTCATGTCAGCGTTACCAATTCATGTCAGCGTTACCAATTCATGTCAGCGTTACCAATTCATGTCAGCGTTACCAATTCATGTCAGCGTTACCAATTCATGTCAGCGTTACCAATTCATGTCAGCGTTACCAATTCATGTCAGCGTTACCAATTCATGTCAGCGTTACCAATTCATGTCAGCGTTACCAATTCATGTCAGCGTTACCAATTCATGTCAGCGTTACCAATTCATGTCAGCGTTACCAATTCATGTCAGCGTTACCAATTCATGTCAGCGTTACCAATTCATGTCAGCGTTACCAATTCATGTCAGCGTTACCAATTCATGTCAGCGTTACCAATTCATGTCAGCGTTACCAATTCATGTCAGCGTTACCAATTCATGTCAGCGTTACCAATTCATGTCAGCGTTACCAATTCATGTCAGCGTTACCAATTCATGTCAGCGTTACCAATTCATGTCAGCGTTACCAATTCATGTCAGCGTTACCAATTCATGTCAGCGTTACCAATTCATGTCAGCGTTACCAATTCATGTCAGCGTTACCAATTCATGTCAGCGTTACCAATTCATGTCAGCGTTACCAATTCATGTCAGCGTTACCAATTCATGTCAGCGTTACCAATTCATGTCAGCGTTACCAATTCATGTCAGCGTTACCAATTCATGTCAGCGTTACCAATTCATGTCAGCGTTACCAATTCATGTCAGCGTTACCAATTCATGTCAGCGTTACCAATTCATGTCAGCGTTACCAATTCATGTCAGCGTTACCAATTCATGTCAGCGTTACCAATTCATGTCAGCGTTACCAATTCATGTCAGCGTTACCAATTCATGTCAGCGTTACCAATTCATGTCAGCGTTACCAATTCATGTCAGCGTTACCAATTCATGTCAGCGTTACCAATTCATGTCAGCGTTACCAATTCATGTCAGCGTTACCAATTCATGTCAGCGTTACCAATTCATGTCAGCGTTACCAATTCATGTCAGCGTTACCAATTCATGTCGGCGTTACCAATTCATGTCGGCGTTACCAATTCAAGTCCGCGTTACCAACTCATGTCAGCGTTACCAATTCATGTCAGCGTTACCAATTCATGTCAGCGTTACCAATTCATGTCAGCGTTACCAATTCATGTCAGCGTTACCAATTCATGTCAGCGTTACCAATTCATGTCAGCGTTACCAATTCATGTCAGCGTTACCAATTCATGTCAGCGTTACCAATTCATGTCAGCGTTACCAATTCATGTCAGCGTTACCAATTCATGTCAGCGTTACCAATTCATGTCAGCGTTACCAATTCATGTCAGCGTTACCAATTCATGTCAGCGTTACCAATTCATGTCAGCGTTACCAATTCATGTCAGCGTTACCAATTCATGTCGGCGTTACCAATTCATGTCAGCGTTACCAATTCATGTCAGCGTTACCAATTCATGTCGGCGTTACCAATTCATGTCGGCGTTACCAATTCATGTCAGCGTTACCAATTCATGTCAGCGTTACCAATTCATGTCAGCGTTACCAATTCATGTCAGCGTTACCAATTCATGTCAGCGTTACCAATTCATGTCAGCGTTACCAATTCATGTCAGCGTTACCAATTCATGTCAGCGTTACCAATTCATGTCAGCGTTACCAATTCATGTCAGCGTTACCAATTCATGTCAGCGTTACCAATTCATGTCAGCGTTACCAATTCATGTCAGCGTTACCAATTCATGTCAGCGTTACCAATTCATGTCAGCGTTACCAATTCATGTCAGCGTTACCAATTCATGTCAGCGTTACCAATTCATGTCAGCGTTACCAATTCATGTCAGCGTTACCAATTCATGTCAGCGTTACCAATTCATGTCAGCGTTACCAATTCATGTCAGCGTTACCAATTCATGTCAGCGTTACCAATTCATGTCAGCGTTACCAATTCATGTCAGCGTTACCAATTCATGTCAGCGTTACCAATTCATGTCAGCGTTACCAATTCATGTCAGCGTTACCAATTCATGTCAGCGTTACCAATTCATGTCAGCGTTACCAATTCATGTCAGCGTTACCAATTCATGTCAGCGTTACCAATTCATGTCAGCGTTACCAATTCATGTCAGCGTTACCAATTCATGTCAGCGTTACCAATTCATGTCAGCGTTACCAATTCATGTCAGCGTTACCAATTCATGTCAGCGTTACCAATTCATGTCAGCGTTACCAATTCATGTCAGCGTTACCAATTCATGTCAGCGTTACCAATTCATGTCAGCGTTACCAATTCATGTCAGCGTTACCAATTCATGTCAGCGTTACCAATTCATGTCAGCGTTACCAATTCATGTCAGCGTTACCAATTCATGTCAGCGTTACCAATTCATGTCAGCGTTACCAATTCATGTCAGCGTTACCAATTCATGTCAGCGTTACCAATTCATGTCAGCGTTACCAATTCATGTCAGCGTTACCAATTCATGTCAGCGTTACCAATTCATGTCAGCGTTACCAATTCATGTCAGCGTTACCAATTCATGTCAGCGTTACCAATTCATGTCAGCGTTACCAATTCATGTCAGCGTTACCGATTCATGTCAGCGTTACCGATTCATGTCAGCGTTACCGATTCATGTCAGCGTTACCGATTCATGTCAGCGTTACCGATTCATGTCAGCGTTACCGATTCATGTCAGCGTTACCGATTCATGTCAGCGTTACCGATTCATGTCAGCGTTACCAATTCATGTCAGCGTTACCAATTCATGTCAGCGTTACCGATTCATGTCAGCGTTACCGATTCATGTCAGCGTTACCAATTCATGTCAGCGTTACCAATTCATGTCAGCGTTACCAATTCATGTCAGCGTTACCAATTCATGTCAGCGTTACCAATTCATGTCAGCGTTACCAATTCATGTCAGCGTTACCAATTCATGTCAGCGTTACCAATTCATGTCAGCGTTACCAATTCATGTCAGCGTTACCAATTCATGTCAGCGTTACCAATTCATGTCAGCGTTACCAATTCATGTCAGCGTTACCAATTCATGTCAGCGTTACCAATTCATGTCAGCGTTACCAATTCATGTCAGCGTTACCAATTCATGTCAGCGTTACCAATTCATGTCAGCGTTACCAATTCATGTCAGCGTTACCAATTCATGTCAGCGTTACCAATTCATGTCAGCGTTACCAATTCATGTCAGCGTTACCAATTCATGTCAGCGTTACCAATTCATGTCAGCGTTACCAATTCATGTCAGCGTTACCAATTCATGTCAGCGTTACCAATTCATGTCAGCGTTACCAATTCATGTCAGCGTTACTAACTCATGTCAGCGTTACCAATTCATGTCAGCGTTACCAATTCATGTCAGCGTTACCAATTCATGTCAGCGTTACCAATTCATGTCAGCGTTACCAATTCATGTCAGCGTTACCAATTCATGTCAGCGTTACCAATTCATGTCAGCGTTACCAATTCATGTCAGCGTTACCAATTCATGTCAGCGTTACCAATTCATGTCAGCGTTACCAATTCATGTCAGCGTTACCGATTCATGTCAGCGTTACCGATTCATGTCAGCGTTACCGATTCATGTCAGCGTTACCGATTCATGTCAGCGTTACCGATTCATGTCAGCGTTACCGATTCATGTCAGCGTTACCGATTCATGTCAGCGTTACCGATTCATGTCAGCGTTACCAATTCATGTCAGCGTTACCAATTCATGTCAGCGTTACCAATTCATGCGGGCTGGCGGCATAGGCCACAGGCGACCCTCCAAAAGTGTACAGCTGCCCTCCCGTCACCTGTGGGGATAGCAGCCGGCAGAGCAGGGGAGGAGAGGAAAGGGGAAGGACGTGCATGGAGGTGTGAGGGGCGGAGGACGAATGTGGAGGTGGACGCATGGGATAGGAATGGCAAGCTGGCCACACAGCTTGCCTCGCACTCACGAACCACATGTCCTGCACTGCAATGTCAACACATCCTACCACGTGAAGGAAGGTGATTCTTGACATGTCTCACATGTCGCCTTCTTTCACAGCTTGTCTCACACTCATGGCCCAGGTGCCCTGCACTGCTCTGCACTGCACTGCACTGCACTGCACTGCACTGCCCCAACACCCTTCCTCTCATAACCACGCACCTGCAGGCCGGTGGCATGCGAGGCGAAGGCAAAGTCCCTGAGGCTGCCCGCCATGCCCGCCTGTATCACATCCACACTCTCCGCCAGCCGCCGCCGCCATGTTTGATACCTCTCACAAGTGACACAAGCATACAGCACCCACCTGCTCTCCAGTGGCATGCGAGGCGAAGGAGAAGTCTCTCAGATTGCCCGCCATGCCTGCCTGTATCACATCCACACTCTCCGCCAGCCGGCCCCGCCACCACGCCACTGATGACCGCCCCTCTCCCTCGCCCTCCTCCCCACTGCTGCTGCCGCTGCTGCTTCCACTGCTGCTCGCGGAGCTGTATTCCCGTTGCCGCTCTCTCTCCTCGTACTCGTTGGGCTGAGGCGAGGGAGATGGGATGGGATGGGAGCATGGGCCGTGTTGGATGGCTGAGGGAAGGCATGAGGGTGAAGGCATGAGGGTGAAGGCATGAGGGTGAAGGCATGAGGGTGAAGGCATGAGGGTGAAGGCACGAGGGTGAAGGCATGAGGGTGAAGGCATGGGGGTGAAGGCATGGAAGTGAAGGCATGGGTGTGCGGCACTTGTGTGGGCACAGCATGGGCACATGACATTAGAATGAGGAGAGGTGTGAAAATTAAGGAGACGAGGGGGTGACTTGGATAGCAGTGCACACAGCATCGAGAAACGATGGGAGCCGGAGATGTGGAGAGCTCGAATAGAAAACGACACGGGGGAGACATGGGGGACATAGAACACAGGGGTCACGGGAGACATGGGGTCACGGGAGACATGGGGTCACGGGAGACATGGGGTCACGGGAGACATGGGGTCACGGGAGACATGGGGTCACGGGAGACATGGGGTCACGGGAGACATGGGGTCACGGGAGACATGGGGCGCATGGGGGCACGTGGGGGCGCATGGGGGCACATGGGGGCGCATGGGGGCACATGGGGGCACATGGGGGCGCATGGGGGCACATGGGGGCACATGGGGGCGCATGGGGGCACGTGGGGGCGCATGGGGGCACATGGGGGCACATGGGGGCGCATGGGGGCACATGGGGGCACATGGAGGCGCATGGGGGCACGTGGGGGCGCATGGGGGCACATGGGGGCGCATGGGGGCACATGGGGGCACATGGGGGCGCATGGGGGCACATGGGGGCACATGGGGGCGCATGGGGGCACGTGGGGGCGCATGGGGGCACATGGGGGCACATGGGGGCGCATGGGGGCACATGGGGGCACATGGGGCACATGGGGCACATGGGGCACATGGGGGCGCATGGGGGCACATGGGGGCGCATGGGGGCACATGGGGGCACATGGGGGCGCATGGGGGCACATGGGGGCACATGGGGGCGCATGGGGGCACATGGGAGCGCATGGGGGCGCATGGGGGCGCATGGGGGCGCATGGGGGCGCATGGGGGCGCATGGGGGCGCATGGGGGCGCATGGGGGCGCATGGGGGCACATGGGGCACACGAGGGAGGGAGCACAGACGAGCAGAAGGAGGCCCGAGGCGAAGCCCTGTTGCAGTGGATTGCCGAAGGGCGATCCCCCGATCACTGCATCGCGGAAGCGGTCGTTGAAACTGATGTCATGGGGGCAGAGGGGCCAGGCAAGCAGAGGGGCGTTGGGGAATGTGGGGTGGGGGATGGGAAAGAAAAGGAAACTCAGGCGAGAAGAAGAATCGCTGGGAGGAGCTAAGGCCAGCATTCAAGGGGAGATGAGGAAGAATTGCTGGGTGCACAAGTGCTGTGGAAGATGAAGAGGAGCTGCCAAGCTCGTTCTACCACTGTACAGCCATCCACCGGCAACACGAGGGCCTCACCTGCCGATGCCCGTGCCGTGCAGGTTGGCCTGCGCTGCGTTCACCCCGCGGCCGTTATTTGCCACCTCGCCAAAGTCCCACCCCTCTCCGTACCTGGTGTGTGTAGGGATGTGCCATTGCAGGGAGCGCAGGGGCATGGGAAAACGAGGAGAGATGTGAATGGAGCACAAGAAGTGGAGCCGGCAGGATGTGGCAGCAATGGAGGACAAAATGCCAGCGGGCGTGGCACGAGCGCGACGTGAATGCTAAGTTGCAGTCTGGTGGGCATAGGTATGAGCAGTTGATTCTGTTGATTCTCACAAGTAAGATGGCACTTATTGAGCCGCATCTCAGCAGTTCATTCTCACTCACAAGTAAATGGCCTTGCCGTCCACCCCATGCTCACAAGCAAATGGCCTTGCCGTCCACCCCATGCTCACAAGCAAATGGCCTTGCCGTCCACCCCATGCTCACAAGTAAATGGCCTTGCCGTCCACCCCATGCTCACAAGTAAATGGCCTTGCCGTCCACCCCATGCTCACAAGTAAATGGCCTTGCCGTCCACCCCATGCTCACAAGCAAATGGCCTTGCCGTCCACCCCATGCTCACAAGTAAATGGCCTTGCCGTCCACCCCATGCTCACAAGTAAATGGCCTTGCCGTCCACCCCATGCTCACAAGTAAATGGCCTTGCCGTTCACCCCATGCTCCTTGATGGTGAGTGCGTCAAGTGCCGATCGGATGTGCATCTGAGGGTGAGGCAATAAGAAGAGGTAGGGAGACGAGGCAGGGAGACGGGGCAGGGAGACGGGGCAGGGAGACGGGGCAGGGAGACGGGGCAGGGAGACGGGGCAGGGAGACGGGGCAGGGAGACGGGGCAGGGAGACGGGGCAGGGAGACGGGGCAGGGAGACGGGGCAGGGAGACGGGGCAGGGAGACGGGGCAGGGAGACGGGGCAGGGAGACGGGGCAGGGAGACGGGGCAGGGAGACGGGGCAGGGAGACGGGGCAGGGAGACGGGGCAGGGAGACGGGGCAGGGAGACGGGGCAGGGAGACGGGGCAGGGAGACGGGGCAGGGAGACGGGGCAGGGAGACGGGGCAGGGAGACGGGGCAGGGAGACGGGGCAGGGAGACGGGGCAGGGAGACGGGGCAGGGAGACGGGGCAGGGAGACGGGGCAGGGAGACGGGGCAGGGAGACGGGGCAGGGAGACGGGGCAGGGAGACGGGGCAGGGAGACGGGGCAGGGAGACGGGGCAGGGAGACGGGGCAGGGAGACGGGGCAGGGAGACGGGGCAGGGAGACGGGGCAGGGAGACGGGGCAGGGAGACGGGGCAGGGAGACGGGGCAGGGAGACGGGGCAGGGAGACGGGGCAGGGAGACGGGGCAGGGAGACGGGGCAGGGAGACGGGGCAGGGAGACGGGGCAGGGAGACGGGGCAGGGAGACGGGGCAGGGAGACGGGGCAGGGAGACGGGGCAGGGAGACGGGGCAGGGAGACGGGGCAGGGAGACGGGGCAGGGAGACGGGGCAGGGAGACGGGGCAGGGAGACGGGGCAGGGAGACGGGGCAGGGAGACGGGGCAGGGAGACGGGGCAGGGAGACGGGGCAGGGAGACGGGGCAGGGAGACGGGGCAGGGAGACGGGGCAGGGAGACGGGGCAGGGAGACGGGGCAGGGAGACGGGGCAGGGAGACGGGGCAGGGAGACGGGGCAGGGAGACGGGGCAGGGAGACGGGGCAGGGAGACGGGGCAGGGAGACGGGGCAGGGAGACGGGGCAGGGAGACGGGGCAGGGAGACGGGGCAGGGAGACGAGGGAGACAGGGAGACGAGGCAGGGAGACGAGGCAGGGAGACAAGGTAAGGAGAAGACAAGACATAATGGGTGTGAAGAGAAAGATATTGATTTAGCAGTGCGTAAATCACTCACCATGGTGTGCGAAATTCAGAGCAGCAGCACTCACCATGGTGTACGAAATTCAGAGCAGCAGCACTCACCATGGTATGCTTCATGAGGTGCCCCATGAGGTCAAACCGGAACCCATCCACCTGCCATGCAATGGCGCCAGGGATCAGATCAGAGCCAATGGATTAATGTAGAGAGAAGAGGTGTTGCCGCCCTGTCATGGTTGTGTCTGACGAAACTGCGTTTCAACATGACTGTTTTGAATGTGATTTTGCACAGACATAAGAATGTTTCAAATGTAACTGGGTTTCGAACAAGAGCATACTCAAGACGTTCAGGCATGACCTTTTTCAGGTTACATTCAGTTAGGTTGCACCACACCACACTTACCAACAATAAAAAAAGGAACAAAAAAAAAAGGGAACCAAAAAACAAAAAAATCCTTCAGGTATGATTTGTTCTATTATACATCTCTTGTATCCTACATTGTTCCTATATTGGGAAAAGACAGGCGCCAAACCTAGTTTGGGTGCACAACTAGGGTTAAGCCAAGTTGGAGTTGGGAATCCAACTTTGGCCCAACCTTTGGCCCCAAGGTTGGGTTGGGGACAATTGGACCCCCAATAATGTTGGCCCAACCAACCGTGGCCAACATTCTTGGGCTCCCTCCAATAACTCTCCCACCCAGCTTATTGGTGGCGGGCCAATAATGTTGGTCAAATCCCAACAAACGCCCCCCCCCCCCCCCCCCCCCCCCCTTCTAGTTCAAACTATGTATACCCTCATATTTCCGTTAAATCACATGACTGACCTTGTACTGTGTGGCCCACATGACCACATCGTCCACTATAAGCCGCTCCACCATGGCATGCTCGCTCGCCGTGTTGTTGCAACACGCACTGCTCTCCACCCGCCCCTCCATGTCCCTCCGGACATAGTACCCAGGTACCACCTGGTATGTGGCACGATCAGCAAGAGAGGGAGGAGTGGCGCAGAGAAGGAGTGCAAAGATAAGAAATGGGAAACAGCAGAGAGCTGTCACAGTCACGCGATATCTGTCACTCAGGCACACCTGAGATTGAGCACAGAAAAAAAGGGCTGTGCTTGTTGTGCGGGCTCTGCGGGCTACACGACTGTGAGAGCAGTGATACATTTACTGAGTTGCACCTTATCGAGGACAGAAAAGGGGCTGTGCGGGCCACTGGCGTAGAGGTGGTTGTAGACCACGTCGAGCACCACCCTCAGCCCCATGCCGTTCACTGCCTGCCCATGCAGCACGTCACGTGCGGGCAGAGAGAGAGAAAACAATAAAAGAAAGCATAAGTTTGTCCGTGGGGAAACGTCACTGGCGTAGAGGTGGCTGTATATCACGTGCAGCACCACCCTCAGCTCAGCCCCATGCCGCTCACCGCCTGTCCTCGCGCCCGCCCACCGCGGGTGAGAAGTGTCACTTGCAGGGGGCCAGCGGGAAGGCAAACAGTCACAATCTGGTTTTTTTTGTTCAACTTTGCTCACTCTTTGATGATTGGAGTGTGACAGCTCCGAGTTTCCTTACGCAGGGTATGTGATAGGTGTTACTGGCAACCGACAATGGGTGTGCATGTTGCGTTATGTGGAGTGAAAACTTTGAAGCACCCAGGAGACGAAGAAGTTGACCAAATCCTTCACACAGAAAAATAGGCACCATGCTCACCACCAGCCCTGCATATGCACCTGCGCCGCACCACACCCACCTGCACCACACCACACCCACCTGCACCACAACACACCCACCTGCACCGCACCACACCCACCTGCACCACACTACACCCACCTGCACCACACCACACCCACCTGCACCACACCACACCCACCTGCACCACACTACACCCACCTGCACCACACCACACCCACCTGCACCACACCATACCCACCTGCACCACACTATACCCACCTGCACCACACCACACCCACCTGCACCGCACCACACCCACCTGCACCACACCACACCCACCTGCACCACAACACACCCACCTGCACCGCACCACACCCACCTGCACCACACTACACCCACCTGCACCACACCACACCCACCTGCACCACACCATACCCACCTGCACCACACCATACCCACCTGCACCACACCACACCCACCTGCACCGCACCACACCCACCTGCACCACACCACACCCACCTGCACCACAACACACCCACCTGCACCGCACCACACCCACCTGCACCACACTACACCCACCTGCACCACACCACACCCACCTGCACCACACCACACCCACCTGCACCACACTACACCCACCTGCACCACACCACACCCACCTGCACCACACCATACCCACCTGCACCACACTATACCCACCTGCACCACACTATACCCACCTGCACCACACCCACCTGCACCACACTACACCCACCTGCACCACACCCACCTGCACCATGGAGCGGAACTCGAGCGTGCGGGCAGCGCCATCAGCATGGGTGGCATAGCTGCCATCCGGCACACCCCAGTGCACCGGGTCATACCTGGGGGAGGTGGGGCATGAGAAAGGGGGAATGGAGGGCGGGTGGGTGGAGGGCAGGCGAGGAGAGGGCAGGTGGGACGAGGGGCAGGCACACAGCGAGGCAGGCACACAGCGAGGCAGGCACGTGTTCATGTGGGAGCACAGACAGACATTCCCTCTCACCCACTGTCACTTGAGCCCTTCAGCATCCTTCATGTTGCCAGTGCAGGGTGGTGGCATGGCAGGGTGGTGGCATGGCAGGGTGGTGGGGTGCTGGCAGTGGCAGCAACAACAGCACAGCATTGCATCCATGCAACCACAACTGCAGGCGGTGCAAGCACGCAAAGCAAAGCCCTCAACGGCAACCGCTCACCCCCAGTTGTACGCGTCCACATCCTTCACGGCTGCTACAGCCGCCTGCTGGCAGTCCGAGTCAGGCGGATAGCTCCTGAGGGAGGGCTCATCTGCAATGGTGGAGGGGGTTGGGGCCGGCAGTGGGGAGGATGGGATGTGATGTGAGTCAGGCAGGTAGGTCCTGAGGGCGGGCTCATCTGCTGCAATGGTAAAGTGGGAGGCGGACAGTCAGGAGTACGGCATGTGATGATGGGCTGCTTGGTGGGAGACAGGTGCCATGTGAGGCGGGTGCTTGGTGGGGCATGGCAGGCACATGGGGCATAGGGAGCAACGTGCAGGCATGAGAGAAAAGCACGGCAGTGCACAAGCCTCAAGGCGAGCAGAGAGAGGCACAGACCAACAGCCTGCCAGGTGGATTTGTTCTCGCTGACAGAGCCGAAGTCGTAGGCAGGCAGCAGGTGCAGATGGGTGAGAGCAGTAGTGCACAAAGAGCAACATGTAGGCACAGCAGCTCACGGGGTGAGCAAGGAGAGGCACTGACCGACGGCCTGCCAGGTGGTTTTGTCCTCATTGACTGAGCCAAAGTCATAGGCAGGCAGCAGGTGCAGGTGGGTTAGACCACTGGCCGCTAGCTGCGTCAGATGCTTTGCGCCCTGTGATTGCTGTTGGGAAGGAGATGGGGGAGAGATGGAAGAGAGAGGGAGGAAAGATGGAGGAGAGGGAGATGAGAGATGGAGGAAGGAGAGACGAGTCGATGGATAGAAGATGCAGGGGATGGGAGGATGGGGAAGAGGCAAGCGGTGGGGAAGACGCAGGGGGCAATAGCAAATATGGAATGGGTGTGTACGTGGGAAGGCAAGAAGAATGAGTGAATAGCACGTGGATGGCGACAGGAGAGATGGGGCGGCAGGTAAGCAAGAGCGCCACGAGTGGCAGGGCGGGAGGGGAGCACACACTGGGTGGGTGAAGGCGAGGTACGTTCCGCGGAGGGGCTCGGGCACTGAGGGGTCTGACGCACTGATGGATGCATTGGGTGGGCGTTGCATGGTGATGAGATAAGATGAGAGTTCATGGGAGAGAGGGGGAGATAGGAAGGGAAGAGGAGAGACTGGTAGGCAGCGAGATGGGGAGAGAGAATGAGACGCACGACTTGTTGCATGGAAGTGCATCCACAGCAGAGCAGAGCAGAGCAGAGCAGAGAAGACAAGAGAAGAGCAGGTAGGCGGTCGGTACCACAAACAGCTTCGTCCTTACACGCTGCGTGGTCGATGTGAAGCCCATAGATGGGTTTTCAGGCGCCTCAGAAAAAAAAACTCAACAATTAATATTAGAGGCACGTCAAAAGGCGCACCTGAAGTCACGGATGTGCAGCTCGTAGATGGACACGTCTGAAAACGATTGCAGAGGTGGCTTCTGCTGATGCAAGGTGGACCAATCAGGTGGTGCCAACGCGGCATCACTCAGGTCAACCACCAATGAGCGCTCTCCATTGGCTGAGAGACTGATGGGGCAGGGAGGAGGGGAAGTGTGTAAGGGTGGCAGGGCAAAGAGCACAAGCAAGCAAGCAAGCAAGCAGGCCACCAGGAGGAATTCTAGAGACGAGGCAGAACGTTTTTAAGAACACTCAGAAACACTCAGAGACCAAAAGTTCATAACACGCATGGAAAAAAGTATTTGAGAGCGGAAAAGGACGTACCCGCGGGAGTAAGGGTCGGTGGTGACACATGTCTCGATTCTATTGGTGGCAGGATGGAAGACCCGGATCTCATACTGATAGTACATGCCCTGCCATGCCATGGGGCCCTGCGCACTCCACTGCCCCTCGCTGCCCCTCTCCATGCGCTGGCGAGATACTGGGGGGGATGCGTGGGGCTGGTCGAACAGCAGTAGAGTTACCTCCTGCGGGGAGAGGGGTTGCAGGAGAGCGAGAAGAGAGCAGGTGAGAAGAGCAGGCGAGGAGGTGTATGGGAGGGGCGTGAAGATCTGCTCCTCTCCATGGGCTTGCGAGTCACGGGGGGGCCATGTATGGGGCTGGTCAAACAACAGCAGTGTTACCTCCTCAAGGGAGAGCAGTGAGAAGGAAAAAAGGGGAGGCGAGCAGGAGAGGAAATCAGGAGAGAAGAGCAGGTGAGGAGGTGCACAGGAGGGGTGTGAAGCATGCATGGGCTTGCGAGCCAGGGGGGGGAATGCGTGGGGATGGTCGAACACAAGTAGAGTGACCTCCTGCAGGGAGAGCGGGTAAGGGAGGGAGGAGGAGAGCAGGTGAGGGGAGCAGGTGAGGGGAGCAGGTGAGGGGGAGAAGGGAAGAAACTTCTGAACTGCCTGATTCATGGGTTGGGTCCTAGACATTGCCTCTGTCCGTGTGGTTGCCTTACTTCTAAGCGGTGTCACTAGCCGGTGAATGCTGAGCAGCACAAGGTGCTGAGCTGAGCCCCTCACCACACCGCTGCACCCCAGCGCACCTGAGCAGTGGGCGCCCACACGTGAATGCTCACAGAGCCACCAGACTCCCCCTTCTCAACGTGCGCCCCCAGCGGCCCCTCGTACAAACACAGAGCATCCAGCGCTCCTGCCACCTGCACGCATGTGGCGTCAACGGGTGTGCGTGATGCTGGTGGGATGATGGTAGGAATGGGGGGGGATGTGGCGAACATAGTGGGGTGGGGGAGCAGAGGTAGGGATCGCTAAGTGCATCGGATCACCAGCGCCTCCCCTGCCTCTCCACATGCGCCCCTAGCAGCCCCTAGCAGCCTCTCGTACCCACACCACAGCACACAGTGCGTCCAGCGCCCGTGCCAGGTGCAGGCATGTGGCATCAACGGGTGTGTGCGCCGCGTGACGTGATGTTGGGGCCATGACAGTGGCGGTCAGAGGGACAGGGCCCAGGGGGGGGTAAACGCGGAGAGGGAGGATGAGACAGGTGCGTCGTACAACACAGCGAATCTGTTTTTTTTTTAGAATGGACACAGCGCGTCCAAGGAGCCTGCGAGGTGCAGTGACGTGACGTCCATGGGTGTGGTGCATGCGTCAGCATGCGTGTTGCTGCAGGTGTGGATGAGGGAGGGGAGGAAGTGGTACAGAGGGATGAAGCAACAGAAACAACGCAAGCACGCACAGGGGGAGCATGTGCCATGCGCGCAGCACGGCACAGCACAGCATTGAAACATTCCTCCCTTGACTCCCACACGGGAATTGTCAGACATTATTGCCCCCCGACAGACACACTAACATCCCCTGCTCAAATCTACTCCGCCCTCCACTCGCACAGCCCAATGCCACCCTACCTCCCTCCTCTCACCTTTCGCCCCCATTCACATCACATCCGTCATCCCGCTCCCCTCGCCCCTCCCCCCTCCCACCCTTGCACGCACCGGAGGAGCAGGAGAGGGCGGTCTGCGAGGCCAGCAGGCGGTGCAGGCGGGGCAGGGGGGTGGCGGGCATGCGCAGGCACGTGAAGGTCGCTAGGTGGGGGAACTTGCTGCGCACCTGCATGGGGAAGGGGGAGGGAAGACGAGGAGGGGAAGAGAGAGTTGAGAGAAGATGGGGCAGGGGGTTGATGGACAGGCGCAGGCAGGTGAAGGTCGCTAGGTGGGGGAACTTGGTACGCACCTGCATGGGGGAGGGGGAGGGAAGCGCGGGATGGGGAGGAAGTGGGAGGGTGAGGTTTGGTTCCAGAGGGCCAAAAGGGAGAGAGTGACAGAGGGCTTAGAGAGTGACAGAGGGCTTAGAGAGTGACAGTGAGGGGGAGGGAGTAGAGGGCACGTGCAGAGAGGTGAAGGACGAGAGATGGGGAAATTGATGACCCGCGTGCATGGGAGAGGGGCGAGAAGGGGGGTGGCAGGCTGGCAGACAGGCAAAAGACGTAAGATGGGGAACTTGAGGCGCGCCTGTATGGGGAGAGGGGCGGGCGTAGGAAGGGTTGTCAAGGAATTACAGCATGCCATGCTTCATTGCACCATACCATGCTTCATTGCACCATGCCATGCTTCATTGCACCATGCCATGCTTCATTGCACCATGCCATGCTTCGTTGCACCATGCCATGCTTCATTGCACCATGCCATGCTTCATTGCACCATGCCATGCTTCATTGCACCATGCCATGCTTCATTGCACCATCCCATGCTTCATTGCACCATGCCATGCTTCATTGCACCATGCCATGCTTCATTGCACCATGCCATGCTTCATTGCACCATGCCATGCTTCATTGCACCATGCCATGCTTCATTGCACCATGCCATGCTTCATTGCACCATGCCATGCCTCATTGCACCATGCCATGCTTCATTGCACCATACCATGCTTCATTGCACCATGCCATGCTTCATTGCCATGCTTCATTGCACCATGCCATGCTTCATTGCACCATGCCATGCTTCATTGCACCATGCCATGCTTCACTGCACCATACCATGCTTCACTGCACCATGCCATGCTTCATTGCACCATACCATGCTTCATTGCACCATACCATGCTTCATTGCACCATGCCATGCTTCATTGCACCATGCCATGCTTCATTGCACCATACCATGCTTCATTGCACCATACCATGCTTCATTGCACCATGCCATGCTTCATTGCACCATGCCATGCTTCATTGCACCATGCCATGCTTCATTGCACCATGCCATGCTTCATTGCACCATGCCATGCTTCATTGCACCATGCCATGCTTCATTGCACCATGCCATGCTTCATTGCACCATGCCATGCTTCATTGCACCATGCCATGCTTCATTGCACCATGCCATGCTTCATTGCACCATGCCATGCTTCATTGCACCATGCCATGCTTCATTGCACCATGCCATGCTTCATTGCACCATGCCATGCTTCACTGCACCATGCCATGCTTCATTGCACCATACCATGCTTCATTGCACCATGCCATGCTTCATTGCACCATGCCATGCTTCATTGCACCATGCCATGCTTCATTGCACCATGCCATGCCTCATTGCACCATGCCATGCTTCATTGCACCATACCATGCTTCATTGCACCATGCCATGCTTCATTGCCATGCTTCATTGCACCATGCCATGCTTCATTGCACCATGCCATGCTTCATTGCACCATGCCATGCTTCACTGCACCATACCATGCTTCACTGCACCATGCCATGCTTCATTGCACCATACCATGCTTCATTGCACCATACCATGCTTCATTGCACCATGCCATGCTTCATTGCACCATGCCATGCTTCATTGCACCATACCATGCTTCATTGCACCATACCATGCTTCATTGCACCATGCCATGCTTCATTGCACCATGCCATGCTTCATTGCACCATGCCATGCTTCATTGCACCATGCCATGCTTCATTGCACCATGCCATGCTTCATTGCACCATGCCATGCTTCCTTGCACCATGCCATGCTTCATTGCACCATGCCATGCTTCATTGCACCATGCCATGCTTCATTGCACCATGCCATGCTTCATTGCACCATGCCATGCTTCATTGCACCATGCCATGCTTCATTGCACCATGCCATGCTTCATTGCACCATGCCATGCTTCACTGCACCATGCCATGCTTCATTGCACCATACCATGCTTCATTGCACCATGCCATGCTTCATTGCACCATGCCATGCTTCATTGCACCATGCCATGCTTCATTGCACCATGCCATGCTTCATTGCACCATGCCATGCTTCATTGCACCATGCCATGCTTCATTGCACCATGCCATGCTTCATTGCACCATGCCATGCTTCATTGCACCATACCATGCTTCATTGCACCATGCCATGCTTCATTGCACCATGCCATGCTTCATTGCACCATGCCATGCTTCATTGCACCATGCCATGCTTCATTGCACCATGCCATGCTTCATTGCACCATGCCATGCTTCATTGCACCATACCATGCTTCATTGCACCATGCCATGCTTCATTGCACCATGCCATGCTTCATTGCACCATGCCATGCTTCATTACACCATGCCATGCTTCATTGCACCATGCCATGCTTCATTGCACCATGCCATGCTTCATTGCACCATGCCATGCTTCATTGCACCATGCCATGCTTCATTGCACCATACCATGCTTCATTGCACCATGCCATGCTTCATTGCACCATGCCATGCTTCATTGCACCATGCCATGCTTCATTGCACCATGCCATGCTTCATTGCACCATGCCATGCTTCATTGCACCATGCCATGCTTCATTGCACCATGCCATGCTTCATTGCACCATGCCATGCTTCATTGCACCATACCATGCTTCATTGCACCATGCCATGCTTCATTGCACCATGCCATGCTTCATTGCACCATGCCATGCTTCATTGCACCATGCCATGCTTCATTGCACCATGCCATGCTTCATTGCACCATGCCATGCTTCATTGCACCATGCCATGCTTCATTGCACCGTGCCATGCTTCTTTGCGCCATACCATGCTTCATTGCACCATGCCATGCTTCATTGCACCATGCCATGCTTCATTGCACCATACCATGCTTCATTGCACCATGCCATGCTTCATTGCACCATGCCATGCTTCATTGCCATGCTTCATTGCACCATGCCATGCTTCATTGCACCATGCCATGCTTCATTGCACCATGCCATGCTTCATTGCACCATGCCATGCTTCACTGCACCATACCATGCTTCACTGCACCATGCCATGCTTCATTGCACCATACCATGCTTCATTGCACCATACCATGCTTCATTGCACCATGCCATGCTTCATTGCACCATGCCATGCTTCATTGCACCATGCCATGCTTCATTGCACCATGCCATGCTTCATTGCACCATGCCATGCTTCATTGCACCATGCCATGCTTCCTTGCACAATGCCATGCTTCATTGCACCATGCCATGCTTCATTGCACCATGCCATGCTTCATTGCACCATGCCATGCTTCATTGCACCATGCCATGCATTGCACCATGCCATGCTTCATTGCACCATGCCATGCTTCATTGCACCATGCCATGCTTCATTGCACCATGCCATGCTTCATTGCACCATGCCATGCTTCATTGCACCATGCCATGCTTCATTGCACCATGCCATGCTTCATTGCACCATGCCATGCTTCACTGCACCATGCCATGCTTCATTGCACCATACCATGCTTCATTGCACCATGCCATGCTTCATTGCACCATGCCATGCTTCATTGCACCATGCCATGCTTCATTGCACCATGCCATGCTTCATTGCACCATGCCATGCTTCATTGCACCATGCCATGCTTCATTGCACCATGCCATGCTTCATTGCACCATGCCATGCTTCATTGCACCATACCATGCTTCATTGCACCATGCCATGCTTCATTGCACCATGCCATGCTTCATTGCACCATGCCATGCTTCATTGCACCATGCCATGCTTCATTGCACCATGCCATGCTCTTTTGCACCATGCCATGCTTCATTGCACCATGCCATGCTTCATTGCACCATGCCATGCTTCATTGCACCATGCCATGCTTCATTACACCATGCCATGCTTAATTACACCATGCCATGCTTCATTGCACCATGCCATGCTTCATTGCACCATGCCATGCTTCATTGCACCATTGCTTCATTGCACCATGCCATGCTTCATTGCACCATGCCGTGCTTCATTGCACCATGCCGTGCTTCATTGCACCATGCCATGCTTCATTGCACCATGCCATGCTTCATTGCACCATGCCATGCTTCATTGCACCATGCCATGCTTCATTGCACCATGCCATGCTTCATTGCACCATGCCATGCTTCTTTGCGCCATACCATGCTTCATTGCACCATGCCATGCTTCATTGCACCATGCCATGCTTCATTGCACCATGCCATGCTTCATTGCACCATGCCATGCTTCATTGCACCATGCCATGCTTCATTGCACCATGCCATGCTTCATTGCACCATGCCATGCTTCATTGCACCATGCCATGCTTCATTGCACCATGCCATGCTTCATTGCACCATGCCATGCTTCATTGCACCATGCCATGCTTCATTGCACCATGCCATGCTTCATTGCACCATACCATGCTTCATTGCACCATGCCATGCTTCATTGCACCATGCCATGCTTCATTGCACCATGCCATGCTTCATTGCACCATGCCATGCTTCATTGCACCATACCATGCTTCATTGCACCATGCCATGCTTCATTGCACCATGCCGTGCTTCATTGGACCATGCCATGCTTCATTGCACCATGCCATGCTTCATTGCACCATGCCATGCTTCATTGCACCATGCCATGCTTCATTGCACCATGCCATGCTTCATTGCACCATACCATGCTTCATTGCACCATGCCATGCTTCATTGCACCATGCCAAGCTTCTTTGCGCCATGCCATGCTTCATTGCACCATGCCATGCTTCATTGCACCATGCCATGCTTCATTGCACCATGCCATGCTTCATTGCACCATTCCATGCTTCATTGCACCATGCCATGCTTCATTGCACCATGCCATGCACCATCACAGAAGATAGTGGAGCGGAGTGTGGGGCTTACAGCAGGCGAGAGGCCAGCAGGGTCCAGCGTGAGGGGAATGACAGAGTCCGCCCCTGATGTGCCACGATGATAGCAGGCAGAAAGGGTGTGGGAGCGATTGGGACGGGGTTAGTGGCAGAGGCAGAGGCGATGACTGTAGAACGCGTTGACACATGGTGCCACGCGAAAAAACGGGATAGGGGTGGCAAGGGGGGGACAGCAAGGGGACGGGCAGGCTAGAGAGTGGCATGCAGCGAGGCACGCAGAAGGAGGGGTTGGCATGGGGTTGCATGGATGGCATGTGCTGTGCAACAGCGCATCAAGGAGAGCGGTAGAACAGCAGAGCACAAGGCAGCAGAAAAGGCAGCAGAGTAGAGAGCAGAGGAGGCCGGGCACCGTGCACGCCGTCCTCTGTGAGGGAGAGTGAGGCCGATTCACTGGCGTGCAGGGCGAAGAGAATCTCCTCGCCATAGTCACCCTCGCTATAGTCCCAGTCCACTGCTATCTCGTCCGCTGACACCCAGTGCGCCTTGAAGAGATCCAAGCTGCCCTGCACACACACACATGTTGGTACCGCACCGCACCACACCGCACACCACACCACACCACACAAGGCACACGCTCAACCCAGCATGATGCATCACACACAGGGTACCCAAGGCACAGAGGCGCGGGCAGGGAACATGTGGGTGAGCGTGGCACGCCTGGCAGGCGAGTGTGCGAGGCTGCTTGCTTGGCCAGGCCAGCAGAGGTTAGGTTAGGGCGGCAACAACAGCATGCGTGAAGCAAGCAAGGATGAAGTGACACCGGCACGGCAGCAGCAGCATGAGAAGGGAAGGGAGCAGAGTGTGCCGCACGATTCCACCCACTAACCACCTTGAGGCAAGGGACAGGTCCGGGTGGGTGGGAGAGACCACGGTTGGGCCGGGGAGAGGCGGTTAGAGGCACCTTGGGGAGGCGGTCGAGGTTGGGGGCGTGCAGGAAGGCGCGTTGGCAGTCTGAGATGAGCCACACTGTGGGGCCACGCTGGGTGCTGGTGGAGGGCGGTGGTGCAGGCAGTGTGGCCATGTCTATGGTCCATGTGCAGTCCTGCCGAGGGGGGAGGGGAGGGGGGGAGAGGAGGGAGAGGGAGGAAATTTGGAAGAGAGGGAGGCTTAACGCATGGGGTGCGAGGCAAGAGGGATAGGGTACATGGGGTGTGTGGGAAGAGGCAGGAGTACGGGGGGTGCAGCACAAAGCATGCGGAACGAGAGACAACAGGACATGGGCTGGGCAGTGAGGAGCAGGTATGTGGCATGAGAGCGAGGGAGGCGAGGGAGAGTGCAGTGCAGCGAGGCACACACCTTCCAGTCCCCTCGGTGAGGCAGCACGTTCACTGTGCGCGCATGTGGCTTCAGCTGCACCCGCCACTCCACCCACTTCATGCCGCCACCACCCGCAGCAACAACACCACCAGTGGCAGCAGCAGGCGAGGAGGGCAAGGGGTGCTGCCAGTCGGTCTCTGCCTCCACGTCGCCCCACAAGTGCAGCCCCCACCCGTTGTAGTCGCCGTCGCCCCTGCCAGTGCCAGCACATGGAGCAGCGCGTGGAATCATGGGAGGGAGCAAGTGGATCGGGACGCACTGGTTGCCATGCGATGGATTGCGTGGACTGGCGTGGACTGGACAGGTTTGCAGGTCATGGCACCACCATGCCATGACATGTCGCCCTGCCTCTCCACACAAGCCGTGCCACGGGGGTATGAACCTAGATTCCCCCTGCCTCTCCACACAAGCCGTGCCACGGGGGTATCAACCTAGATTCCCCCTGCCTCTCCACACAAGCCGTGCCACGGGGGTATCAACCTAGATTCCCCCTGCCTCTCCACACAAGCCGTGCCACGGGGGTGTCGACCTAGATTCCCCCTGCCTCTCCACACGAGCGACCGGGATGACCCTCATTGCGTCGCGTGTGCGTGCAGTGCAGCCCCCCGAATGAACGACGGGAGCTGCGTTTTCCTGACAGCAGTGACATGTGCGGTGGAGACAAGGCGAGTGCGGTGGAGACAAGGCGAGTGCGGGGGAATGTGGACACGGCAGCTGGCACATGCCACGTGGCATGGTGTGTGCGTGATGCTTGCCGTGATTGGCGAGCGCTGCCATAGCAGCTGACGACACGATGCCAGGCGCACTGGAGATTCCCCGATGCATCCCCCTTTTTTGTAACCTTTTGTCCCGTTCCTCGCCCAACCCCCCCAATCTCCCCCCCTTCCCACCATCCCCTCCCCCCTTCCCCCCTTCCGCACCTATGATACACGACGCGCAGCATGTTCCCGCCCGCTGCTTGCCCCTCAGCTGCTCCTGCCTCCAACCCGCCGCCCTCTATTTCTGCCCCATTCCCGTTCGCCGCGGAACAGCGCGGACTAAGCAGGGATGAGCTCCGGCTGGCAGAGGCGGAGCGCGGACTAAGCAATGCGCGGGTGCGCGGTAGGCCGGCGGTGGCGCACGCGGGGAGCATCAAGCGCGGCTGCGCGTCTCGGCGCTGCGTTCCGCTGGAGCGCGCGGCGACGGCGGTCGCGACGGCGGTCGCGGCGGCGGAGGGGACGAGGGGGCGAGAGCACAGCGCGAAGGCCATGACGAGTCGCGACTCACGAGAGAGCTGTTGGCCGATCGCGGTACAGGCCCCAATGAGATTTGAGGCTTCAGTTGAATAGGAGAGCAACACTCCCTGCTGATTCAAGTGTCTTGCACCTGACTGAAGAAGAACAGTGGAAATTGGGACAACGCCCACGGAGTGTTCAGGTATACCGGTACAATGTTGTCCGTCGAGTTCGGATTCAAATGCTACATGTAACCACTTCGCAGTTTCAATCCTTCGTTCGCTCCAGCACAGCCCCACCCTCCGAAAAATGGGGAGAAATTTCGGAGGAAAAGAGGTTGACGGCAGTAGGCGGTTTTGCCGCGTAGCCGTCTAACCAATGAGGCAAAGCTCAGAGGCTCCTTTGCGAGGCGAGTCTTCCGTCAAGTTCATCAGACAAATTCGCGGCTGAAATCTGGTGGAAACATCTGTACCACTTTTGACATCACATATTGAGAAGTGTAGCAAACGTTTGTTGCGGATTTCCGAAAAACGGGAATTTCCAACTTCAGTCCTTGCTCAAGCCACCTACCTTGCAGCCTTATCTGCTTCCGATGGCTACCTTGTTCATGTACCACGTTCGAGTACAGCTGATGCCCACCCCATGCACGCGAATTTGCTCTGCACCGGATGGAAACGCTGCACCCGAGGTTTTTTCCCCAGCCTGTTGCACCCACGTTACAAGCGCGTCGCGTGGTTATGAACCAATAGTAACGAACAGACCGAAGTCAAACTAAAGAGGCTGAAGTCAAAATGTCAACGGATAAGGTTACAGGTCATTTATATAAGCACCTGCGAGAACTTTTTAGCTAGCTGCGAATTGACGAAACTTATGCGAAATGCTCGATACAGCTTATACGCCCCCTTCACCAGACAACCGGGAGGGGCTCAATCAGGAATCAGGTGTATACTTGGTTGGGCCCCCAGTCCAAACCAGGCCTGTCGATTCACGGGCATTTTCCCGTTTTCCCTGAGAATTCAGGGTTCGTTTCAACTCAGCTCAGAGATTTTCAGGGCTGGTTTTTTCCTGGCCCGTATTCCTAACAGACGGGTTTGGAGCCCCCCCAGGATTTCCCGTGTACCAGCTCTTTCCCCACCCCCCCATCCCCCTATTTCCGCACCAGCGAGCTCTGATCGGTAGAGTATGTACCTAGAGTTACTTAGCTTTCTGGCGCATGTGGCTCAGGGCAGGGGTCCGAATGGCCTGAATTTAAGGGCTAGATTCGACTGCTGTCCGGATGCTTCAGGGCCTGTTTCGGGCCAGCTCAGCTTCGTAAGGTTTAGGCCCAGACCAAGCGACAGCCCTGGTCCAAACCAAACCTCTCCGTCCTCCCCCCCCCCCCCACCCCCCACCTCATAAATGCCTTGCGATCATTCTTAGGACTGCCGATAGCGTGTGGAACTCGTGCGAGAGGTAATACGTGTTATCCGCACGTTCCAATACAGTGCCGCAAGTGAGGAAATTTCAGTGCCTTTGGCGGATGCTCGTGTCGTATTACCTTCCTTGTGCTTGGCCTTCACACCGCAGTTTATTTAAAGCTTTCGAAACTGGCCATCGCGTGTCGACCCCAAATGCAGTGCTTCCGCTGACCGTTAGCCGCTGATCGTTTATGACAGGCGTACGTTTCGACAACGCCCGTTGCCGCGAGTTTTATTTATGACTAGCGCTAGTTTTGACAATAGTTGTGACAATTAAAAGCTTCAACAAGTCAACCTAATATCTCCAGGAACTGTTTCACGCTTAGTGCATTGCCCTGCTTCACGCTTAGCGCATTGCCCTGTTTCACGCTTAGCGCATTGCTCGCAGATAGAGAGGCCCGCCGTCGTGCTTCCCTCGGAACAACCGCCGTCGTCGCTACCGACCATTCTTCTCACCCTCCTCGTTGGTACCACCCTCTTCGTTAGTACCACCCTCCTCGTTAGTACCACCCTCCTCGTTAGTACCCTCCTCCTCGTTAGTACCACCCTCCTCGTTAGTACCACCCTGCTCGTTAGTACCACCCTCCTTGTTAGTACCACCCTCCTCGTTAGTACCATCATCCACGTTAGTACCACCGTCCTCGTTAGTACTACCCTCCGTGTTCGCCCCGACAAAGCCAAACAGCCGCACGGGATCTCCGGAGAGTGACAAGCGGGTCTGACAATAACGCGTTCAAGCAATGTCACGAGCAGGTATTCGCCGGCCAACGCTGAGCGCGAGGAGGCAAGCGAGGATGTCAAGCTGAGCCGTGGGAAGAAGCTCACGCACTAAGGCTCACACACTCATTTCTGAGGCGCCTGGAGAATGATTTCTCGCCTCATCGCTGCCCTCCAAAACCCCATCGCCCGTTGTGTTTAAACTGCTGCTATCGCATGCTGGGCACCTCACGCCGCCCGCTGCGCATTGTACTGCCACCGCGTGCTGGACCGCTGAGCTCTCGCGCCACCAGCGCGCCCGCGCCATAGCGTCCGCCCGCGCCATAGCGTCCTCCCGCACATTTCTCCCCCTCCTCGTTTCCACCTCCTCTTCTTCCCCATTCCCCTCCCACCATCTCACCAAACCCCAAACCCCGTCCGCTTCCCCCTCTCTCTCTCTCCCCTCAACCCCTCATCTCCCTTCTTCCGGCTTCCCAATCCGCGCCCGTGCGTGCAGGGTGGCGGAAACGAGAGAGCAAGATGGGCGGGGCGGCAGTGCGGCACGACTTTGAAACCCATGCAGACTGCCCCCCCTTGTCTCCCCCGCCCACCCCCCACTCTCCCCCGCCACTCTCCCCCTTCCCCCCGTCAACCCCCCTCCCCTCCCCCTCCCCCTCTTCCCCTTGCAGGGTGGCGGAACCTAGAGAACACAGTGGGCGGGTCGGCACGGGAGTCGACGGATCGGCGCAATGGGGATGATGACGACGGGGGTGGAGAGGCCGTGCTGGTGCGAGGGGGGCGGCCCATCGCCAAGAGCATGCCGCACGCAGGCCAGCCCATTCTCAGCTTCAACACCGGTGAGCTAGCTGTCCGTCTGTCCGTCTGTCCGTGTGTGTGTGTGTGTGTCTGCTGCAATGAGAGCAGCATGCCACTGCCTTGCTCTCAGCTTCAACACTGGTGACCACTGGTCAGTCAGCATGCCACACGCAGGGCAGGGCAGCCCGTTCTGAGCTTCAACAAACACCAGTGAGTCAGCTGGGGCTGCTGGTGATGATGACGCTGCTCTGCTGCTGCTGGTCACTGGCCAGGCCATGCTGCGAGGGGCCCAGGCAATTGCCAAAAGTTCTGCACACAGGGCAGCAGCACATTCTCAGCTCCAACACTCGTGAGTTGGGGTACGCCCCTCGCGGAGGTGAAGTGAAGCACGAGATTTGGATTCTCTACCACCTTGTGGGGCAGCAGCGGGCAGCGGGCAGCGGGCGACGGAGAGGGAGTTTGTCGTGAAGCAGACAAGACGCGCCTGCTCATGCTCCCACCCTCCTCTCCCTCTCCCCCTCCCTCTCCCGCTTCCCCCCCCACCCCCCACCGCTCCCCACCCCCCCTCCCCCCCCTCTTCTCCTCCCCCCGTCCCCCTTTCCCCCCCTTCCCCAGGCTCTCTCACGGAGGAGTACGAGCTGGGGGAGAAGCTGGGCGAGGGGCACTTCGGGTCCACGTACCGGTGCCGGCAGCGGGCGACGGGGAAGGAGTTTGCGGTGAAGCAGATGAGCAAGACGCGCCTGCTCATGCTGGGCACGCCCCTGGCGGAGGTGAAGCGCGAGGTGGGGATTCTGTACCACCTGGCGGGCCACCCCCACGTGGTGCAGGTGCAGGCGGCGTTTGAGGACTCTAAGACTGTGGCGATCGTGATGGAGCTGTGCCATGGGGGGGAGCTGTACGACAGAATCATCGCCAAGGGCCACTACAGGTGTGTTCTACGTTTCTGGGTTGGCGCCATGGGGGGAGCTGTGCCATGGGGGGGAGTTATACGACAGAATCATCGCCAAGGGCCACTACAGGTGTCTTCTAGGTTTCTGGGTTGGTGCCATGGGGGGAGCTGTGCCATGGGGGGAGCTGTGCCATGGGGGGAGCTGTGCCATGGGGGGAGCTGTGCCATGGGGAGAGCTGTGCCATGGGGGAAGGGGAGCTGTGCCATGGAGGGAGCTGTGCCATGGGGGAAGGGGAGCTGTGCCATGGGGGAAGGGGAGCTGTGCTATGGGGGGAGCTGTGCCATGGGGGAAGGGGAGCTGTGCCATGGGGGGAGCTGTGCCATGGGGGAAGGGGAGCTGTGCCATGGGGGGAGCTGTGCCATGGGGGGAGCTGTGCCATGGGGGGAACTGTGCCATGGGGACGTGACCTCAAGCCCGACAAATTCCTTCCCTTCCCTCTCCTCGTGTCGCTTCCTTGCAGCGAGTGCGACGCAGCACGGCTGGTGCGCACAATAGTGTCGGTGGTGCACTACTGCCACACCATGAACGTGGTGCATCGCGACCTCAAGCCCGAAAACTTCCTCTTTGCCAACCGCAGCGACGACGCGCCCCTCAAGACCATCGACTTCGGCCTCTCGCTCTTCTTCACCCCAGGTTGGTACGGAAAGGCCCTTGGCTTGGGATGGGACCCGAGTGCCAAGTCACCCCAGGTAGGTAGGGGAAGCCCCTTGCCTCGCTTTTCTTCACCCCAGGTATGACGCGCTCCTCTCATCTCATGCCCTTCTCCTGTCACTCCCCCCCTTCCCTGACCACCAGGCGAGCCCATATCAGCAGGCTTGGCAGGCAGCCCACTGTATCTAGCCCCGGAGATGGTGCGAACCAACGGGAGCCACTATGGACCCGAGGTGGACGTGTGGAGCGCAGGGGTCATTCTCTACATGCTGCTCTGCGGCTACTGCCCCTTCCCCACCGGTATGCCTTAAGAGGGGGGGGGGGGGGGGGGGGGGGGGGGGGGGAAGTTCATTTGCACCCGTGAAGTGAAAGAGGATGGGTGTGCCCCTTCCCATGGGTGTGCCCCTTCCCATGGGTGTGCCCCTTCCCATGGGTGTGCCCCTTCCCATGGGTGTGCCCCTTCCCCGCCACGGGTAGGTTTGAGTGAGTAAATGAGCTTCCTTTCACATGGGTAGGCATGCTGCCCGCTTCTCACAGGTATGCATATACTCCTTACTCTAGTTTCTTTCAGCTGAGAAAAAAAAAACTGGCCAGTTTAAGGGGCACATGGGATGAGAGCCCATAGGCATGAGAGGGATGGGGTTGAGAGGGCATGGGGTTGAGAGGGCATGGGGTTGAGAGGGCATGGGGATGCGAGGGCATGGGGATGCGAGGGCATGGCATGGGAATGAGAAAGCATGAGGGAGGAGAGAGAGCCATGGGACAGGGTGAAGGCTACCCTAGGCAACCTGCATTTGTCATCCTCACCCTCCTCATGCACTCCTGCCCACCACCACGTCACAAGCAGCAGGTCAACCCCTCTGCCGCACAGACTGCCTACAATGGGCGAGCTGTGTTGTGCAATCAACAATGTGCTGTGCCGGGTAAATCTTGTAAGATGAGATTGAGTACGAACGAGAGCCACAACCCACCCACTTGCAATCAACACCCCCCCATTTCCCCCCTTCCTTCCCTCCCCCCTCCTCTCCTCACCCCCCTCAGACCTACCCACAATGGACGAGCTGTTCTGCGCCATCATGTACGACGAGATCGACTACGACAGCGATCCGTGGCCGTTGATCTCGCAGCAGGCCAAGGAGGTGGTGCAGGGCATGCTGGACCGCAACCCCGACACGCGCCTCACCGCGAAACAAGTGCTAGGTGGGTGGGTTCATTGCCTCGTGGCTGGGCTGGGCTCATGGCTGTGTTGTGTGAGAGCACTATACGCCTGCTTGGCATCGGCCCGCTTCCAAGGAGGTGGTGCAGGCCATGCATGGTGGGTCGCAATCCGGCGACTAGACTCGTGACGAAGCAATGCCAGATGGGTAACAACAACCCACCAAACCTCCCTCCCTCCCTCCCTCCCTCCCTCCCTCCCTCTCTCTCCTCTCCCCACACGGCACTGGTGTGGGGCAGAGCAGCCGTGGGTGAGCGAGGCGGGGTTGGCACCAGACACGCCCTCGGACCCCACAGCCCTGCCTGTCTTCCCCTTCCCCTCGCCCCATACCACCCTAACCCCCCTATCCCCTTTACACCCCCTACCCCCCTTCCCGCATAATACTCGTGGGAGGCAGAGCACCCGTGGGTGAGTGATTAAGGGGGGGGTGGCACCAGACACACCCATGGACCCCCCAGTCTTCAGCCGGCTCAAGAGTCAAGAATAGCCCATCCTTCCGCAAACTCTGCTTTTCTGCCTGCCTCCCCCTTTCCCTCGCCCTATACCACCCCAAACCCTCAACCTCTCTCCCCACACGGCACTGGTGGGAGGGCAGAGCATCCGTGGGTGAGCGAGGCGGGGGTGGCACCAGACACGCCACTGGACCCCACAGTGTTCTCCCGCCTCAAGCGATACGCCGCCATGACGCACATCCGCAAGCTCGCCTCACAGGTGCGTCCCGTCCCATCACATCACATCACATCACATGGAGGGGAGGGGAGTGCTTCTGCTTCCCAGAAGCACCTTGTGTTGAGATGCCACCCCAAACAGTCTTCTCCCGCCTCAAGCAATATGCCGCCATGACACACACACATTCGCAAGCTCGCCTCCCAGGTGCGCTGCTCATACTGCCGCATGGGAACTCATCCTGCTCACAACCCACCATACTGTACCCCCTTCCATCCACCCTACCATTACCCATACCATACTGCACCCCATGCCGTCGCACCAGGTGCCGTCGCAGCAACTGATGACGGAGGAGGGGGTTTTCGGCGTGCGAGAGTTTTCTCATTATGCCGTGCACTCCACCATATCATACCGCACCTAACCGCACCCTGCCTCCTCCAGTTCGATTCATCTTCCTCCACACCAGGTGGTGGCACTGCCGCTGGCAGAGCAGATTCTGGGAATGCTGGAGATGGCCCAACCTCAAATACTGCGCACCATTTCTACCCCTCCATACCATACCGAACCCTGCTCCACCCCACACCGCTCACACCAGCTGGTGACGTGACGCAACCGCTCAGCGTGCAGACCTTTCCATACCGTACCCTACCCCATCATACCCTACTCCACTCCACTCCATACCACTCACACCAGGTGGTGGCGCAGCAGCTAACGGAAGAGGAGATCCTGGGCATGAGGGAGATCTTCAACCAGCTGGACATGGACCAAAGCGGCTCGCTCTCCCTGGATGAGATGCGCCGTGGGCTGCAGAAGATGGGCGCGCGCATGAACGAGGGCGAGCTCAGACAGCTCTACTCCGCTGTCAGTCGCCTGCCTGCCTGCCTGCCTTGCTGCTCGCCTGCTTGCTCCTTTCTTTTTTCCAAAACATACCACACTTTGAACCGATGGATGGCTCCACTCTTCTTTCAACCAAGAGGGCTGCAGCGGATGGGCATGCGTATGAGCCAAGGGGAGCTGAGACACCTCTACTCCGCTGTCAGTCGGTCGCCTGGCTTGCTTGTGTTGCATGCTTGTATGCCTTGGTTTGGGGTAATGAATAGCTCTACTCTACTCTGCTGTAAGCTGCCTTCACTGGGTGCTGGCCTGGTGGGTTTCCTACTTTGCTCCTTGTATGACCCTCTGTCTGTCTTCTCTCTCTCTTCCACTCCCTCTCTGTCTGCTCTCTCGGTCCTCTTTTTTCTCTCTTTCTCCTATCGCCCATCCCCCATACCCACGCCATCTCAGATGGAGGTCAATGGCAGTGAGAGCATCAACATGCATGGGTTCTTTGCCGCCACACTGGCCCTTCCACTCACTCCCTCTTCATCTGCTCCCGCTCCTGCCCCTTGTGCCCCCCTCCTCCCCCACACCCCTCGCAGATGGATGTGAACGACAGTGAGAGCATCGACATGAACGAGTTCTTTGCAGCCACGCTGGGCCTTCCACTCACCCCCTCTTAATCTGCTCCCCATCTTGCCCCTTTGCCCCCCCTCTTTCTGCACCCCTCCGCAGATGGACGTGAACGACAGTGAGAGCATCGACATGTTCGAGTTGTGTCTCTTCCGCTCTCTCTCTCTCCTCTTTCTTCCTTTCGCCCCTCAACCTCACCCCCTTCCCCCCCTTCCTCAGATGGATGTGAACGACAGTGAGAGCATATGCATGAACGAGTTCTTTGCGGCCACGCTGGGGCTGAACCGGTTGATCAAGGAGGAGAACCTGCACCAGGCCTTCCAGTACTTCGACAAGGATGGCAGCGGCTTCATCACACGAGATGAGCTCACTCAGGTGCGTCTGGTTGGTGGTGGTTCGAGAGGGTAATCGACATCCCTTTGGAAGGAACTGGAGGAGAGCCTGCAGCAGGCGTTGCCGTACTTGAACAAGGATGGCAGCGCGTTCATCGTCTCACCAGGGACTGAGCTCACTCAGGTGGGTGAATGAGTGGGTGTGCATGTAAATGGGTCTGCGAATGGGTTCTTTGCATTGCGGCCACGCTCAGGCTCAACTGCTTGATTAATGAGGAGAGCGTGCTTCAGGCGTTGCAGTGTTTCCACAGGGTGGCAGCGGGTCCATCACCCGGGATGAGCTCACTCCTGTGTGTTTGGTGGTGCCATGGACGGGCGAACGATATTTCCTTGGGAGGGTCAAGTCAAGCAGGAGAATCTGCACCAGGCGTTTCAGAATCTCAACAAGGCAGGCAGCGGTCTATGACGGGGTACAAGCTGCCTCAGGTGGGTGTGTATTTGCTAGTGGCGTTGGGTGTGCGTCGTGACCCTTTTCCTTCAGTGTGGGCCCATGCCTGTATGCCCTGTGTTCTCAACCTCTCATGCTCCCGTACCCCATGCCCGGGTGGGAGATGTGTGAGGGAGCATTTGCCTTGTAGCTGTGAGGAAGAATCTCATTGCAGGTAGGTACAGCTGCAGCAACTGCATTTTGGTCTGCATGTCGCAATGACCCCATGCTCCCTATTTCCCTGCCTGCCTGCCCGCCCACTGCCTGCCTTTCTTGGTGCGAGCATGGCATGGCAGGTGTGTGAGGAGTTTGGCATCGGGCCGGAGAACGTGGAGGAGATGATGCAGGAGGTGGATGTTAACAAGGTGAGGTGGACGTTAACAAGGTGAGGTGGATGTTAACGGTGTGAGGTGGACGTTAACAAGGTGAGGTGGATGTTAACGGTGTGAGGTGGACGTTAACAAGGTGAGGTGGATGTTAACAAGGTGAGGTGGATGTTAACAAGGTGAGGTGGATGTTAACAAGGTGAGGTGGATGCTAACAAGGTGAGGTAGACGTTAACAAGGTGAGGTGGATGTTAACAAGGTGAGGTGGATGTTAACAAGGTGAGGTGGATGTTAACAAGGTGAGGTGGACGTTAACAAGGTGAGGTGGACGTTAACAAGGTGAGGTGGATGTTAACAAGGTGAGGTGGATGTTAACAAGGTGAGGTGGACGTTAACAAGGTGAGGTGGACGTTAACAAGGTGAGGTGGACGTTAACAAGGTGAGGTGGATGTTAACAAGGTGAGGTGGATGTTAACAATGTGAGGTGGACGTTAACAAGGTGAGGTGGACGTTAACAAGGTGAGGTGGACGTTAACAAGGTGAGGTGGACGTTAACAAGGTGAGGTGGACGTTAACAAGGTGAGGTGGATGTTAACAAGGTGAGGTGGATGTTAACAAGGTGAGGTGGATGTTAACAAGGTGAGGTGGACGTTAACAAGGTGAGGTGGATGTTAACAAGGTGAGGTGGATGTTAACAAGGTGAGGTGGATGTTAACAAGGTGTGGTGGATGTTAACAAGGTGAGGTGGACGTTAACAAGGTGAGGTGGATGTTAACAATGTGAGGTGGATGTTAACAAGGTGAGGTGGATGTTAACAAGGTGAGGTGGAGGTTAGCAAGGTGAGGTGGACGTTAACAAGGTGAGGTGGATGTTAACGGTGTGAGGTGGACGTTAACAAGGTGAGGTGGATGTTAACAAGGTGAGGTGGACGTTAACAAGGTGAGGTGGATGTTAACAAGGTGAGGTGGATGTTAACAAGGTGAGGTGGATGTTAACAAGGTGAGGTGGATGTTAACAAGGTGAGGTGGATGTTAACAAGGTGAGGTGGATGTTAACAAGGTGAGGTGGATGTTAACAAGGTGAGGTGGACGTTAACAAGGTGAGGTGGATGTTAACAAGGTGAGGTGGATGTTAACAAGGTGAGGTGGACGTTAACAAGGTGAGGTGGATGTTAACAATGTGAGGTGGATGTTAACAAGGTGAGGTGGATGTTAACAATGCAGTGGATGTTAGCAAGGTGAGGTGGATGTTAACAATGTGAGGTGGATGTTAACAAGGTGAGGTGGACGTTAACAAGGTGAGGTGGACGTTAACAAGGTGAGGTGGATGTTAACAAGGTGAGGTGGATGTTAACAAGGTGAGGTGGACGTTAACAAGGTGAGGTGGATGTTAACAATGTGAGGTGGACGTTAACAAGGTGAGGTGGATGTTAACAAGGTGAGGTGGACGTTAACAAGGTGAGGTGGACGTTAACAAGGTGAGGTGGATGGGAGCAAGCTACATTCATGATTCATATGGTGCAGGAAGGAGGAGAGCGTGGAGGAGATGATGCAGGGGGTGAGTCGTCTAACACGACATGCCCTTGTATAGATAATGGAACATTTCTTCGTTTGTATGTTTCCCATGCCCTCCCATGCCCTCTCATGCCCTCCCATGCCCTCCCATGCCCTCCCATGCCCTACAATGCCTTCCCACACCCGCCCACACTTGCCCGTGCCCTACCCTGCCCACCCATGCACCGGGGCTCCTCATGCAAGTCGAGTGAATAGACTACAACGAGTTTGTGACGATGATGCACTGCCACAGCACCATGTTCTCTCACCCCACCACCATGTCTACCCATGCGCTTGCACCTTTGCCCGCCATCAGGACGACCGAATAGACTACAACGAGTTCGTGTCTATGATGCACCGCCACAGCGTGCCGGACCACATCAAGAGCAGCAGCATCGGCAAGGACAAGCTCGCCCTCCTCAAAGTGCAGAGCTCGCTCGAACGAGTCCGCCGCTCCCCCACCATCTAGCTCTCATAGAATCCGCCGCTCAACCACCATCTAACAAAGGCAGAGCTTATGGGGAAGGGGGGGGGGGGGGGAGGGGAGGGGGGGAGGGAGAGTGGTGTTGCGGAGCAACCTATTTCAACCAATCTGGCCAGGTTCTTTTTTTGTCTCATTTTACCAATCATATTTATTGATGAAGTTTTGAAAGCAAAATCAGAAGACATGAATGTCAAAGTGTATTTGGAAACAAAACATGAAAAGAAGAGACCTGAATACCAGAAACATTTTCCGCCTCATACCCCGGATATACCCCCATGGGGGGCAATAATAAAACAGGTTTTTTTAGGGGGGTGGGCTTATAATCGAGTAAATTTATAAGCGCCGGCGTTTATAAAACGACATATATAGTTTATATATTTTTTAACACCAAGCTGTAGATCTCGTGCTTGCCTTTTTCAATCGAGTCGAAGTTACATGGGGTCGTCTGTGAAATTCTTGCGCGCGCTGGAGATACACCCACTCTGACAGCTCCTGACAGCTTCTGACAGCTTCTGACAGCTCCTGACTGCTCCTGCTGACTGGACCCGCATCCAGTGCAGGGTCCGAATGTGAAGGGAAGTGAATCTGCAACACATCCCCCTGCTAAAGTAAATATCGTTACAGTGTTTCGAACACATTTCAAATTTTAAAGTTAACGTGCGCTTATAATAAAACAAGTTTTTTCAGGGGGTGCGCTTATAATCTAGCAGCGGATATAAGCGCCATGCGCCAATTAAAAGCGCCAGGCGCTTATCCGAGGGTGGCGCTTATATCCGGGGTATGACGGTATTGTTACGAATAGTAACATTTGTTCATTACTGTGCACTCCTCACCGCAGCAAAGGAAGCATGCAGTATCGAGAATGAACACGAAGAGTCAGAGTTGACTCGAAGCGTCAGACGGTTAAGCTGCATCTGGACCGTCGCAGTAGATGGCATCGGACAGCTACAGGCAGGATGGCTTTGGCGGGTCCGGTTTCGTAACTGTACGCGCCGCACGGTTGGGAATGAATTTGAATAAGGGAATGTACCCCTTAGAGTACATGGTTAGCTAGGACGTTTCGCCTTCCCTGTACTCATATTTATATTTGCTGTACTTGCGTGTTTTAATCATCTCAAGCATTTTACATCCACTCTGCTATTGAGATCAAGGGCCCACCAACTTCATTTCTCTGTGTGCGAACCTTCCCGAGTAGATCCTGGGAACGATCAACTTCTGATCGTAGCATGGTATGAGAGCGGCTCGGGAATCCTTCGCACTGCCACTCCCAAAAATTGCGACATTCGGAAAGTGGCGTCCGGCACACGATCGCGTGTGAGAATGGCCGGAGGATCTGGTGGTCAGACTAATCTGACGGCTGAAGCGCAACCCAACCCGGCTGCGACAAGCGAGAACACGACAACGATCGGCACCGAAGTTCTCGCTCAACTTCTTCAGCGACTCACCAGCTTGGAGCAAGGGCTCCAAACATTACGGAACGGCGATGCGGGAACATCCTCGCAACCAACCCAACCGGGCCCAACTGGGCAGAACGCCGTCCCGCAAACCTTCTCCCTCGACACAAATGGCTCAACCCCCAAGACTCCCCGTCCCAGTGAAGAAGCAATTCTCTCAGCACAATCAAAGTTTCTCAGCATATCAAAAATAAAGACAAGTACATGTTTTGACGGCAGAGACTTCTATACCTGGAGCTTCGAATTGGAGCTCTTGCTGCAGAACGCCCAAATTTACCATTATTTCGACGGGAGCTACGCGGAACCCGCTGAGGACACCGACGAAGCTAGGACTCGCTACTATAACGAGTCCCTGATGGTGTACGGAATTCTCCTTCGCAACATGTCGCCGGCGGAGCAACTAAACATCCGATCGTACAAGACATCGGCTGCTCCGGCCCTCGACGCCTGGCGCCACCTGAACGGCGTGTATCAGCCGAAGGACTCCGTTTCCTCGAGCCGACTGCTTCAGCAGCTGCTGGAGACCAAAATGGTCTCAGGGGAGAAGGTCAACAGCTACATCAATCGCTGTCGGAGCCTTCGCGATCAAATCGTGAAGCTAGGGAGTTCGATTTCCGAAGAAATCTTTGTGAACATCGTGCTTCAAGGGCTCGGCCCAGAATGGCGGCCCTGTAAGGCGCTTCTCCGACAGCAGGGGGTCATCTCGGAGGCCGCCCTTTGCGCCGCCCTTCTCGTCGAACAACGGGATATGGATCAGCAGCGACCAGCGCCACGACGAGAAAGAGAACGGCTCGCCTTCTACGCCGACAACAACGAAGAGCGACGGCCGAGGCGCCTCTACTGCAAAATCTGCAGGAACTTTGGGCATTTGGCGGATCGATGCAAGTACCGATCCCGCCCTCGCCAGACCAATCCGAGCAACTGGTCCGGCCGACAAGACGCACGAGGCGACGTGCGTCCAGCCCAGGGGTATCAACCCCCAACCGCGCGCAACCTGAACCCAACGGTTCAGCATCAGCAGCAGCAGCCACCATCGACTGCCCCAGTACGCAACGTCATGAGCAACATGGCCATGACCAGCGAATCGCGTCGTCGCCGCGTGCGCTCACCTTCACCTGAGCCCGCACCGCACCCCATTGGCGCATTCAACAACAACAACCCTTTCAGCCCGCGCCACGACTTCACCGACGACGACGCCCAGGACTGGAATCTCCCAGTCCCGCTGCTTGAAAGTCCCCCGCACGTACCTGATATGCGGGTGGCGCCACTTGACTGGCTCTCGCGCGAGCAATTTCTGAAGTTCGACACTCCGCACATCGTCACGCCGCGACTGGCGCTGCTCGCACGTGACGACAACAAGCGCTTCAACACCTGGTACCTGGACAGCTGCTGCGGCCAGCATATGGTGGGCTCCGAGCGTTACATATCCAACGCCGTCGCCACCCCGACAGTCACCTACGTCACCGTGGCTAACAACACACGCCTGCGCGCAAGTGCGCAAGGCATCGTCGTGCTCAAGGCACGCGGAAGCCGCACGCACATCACACTCAACGATGTGCTGATCGTCCAGAACCTGCGCTTCAACCTGCTTTCCGCCGCACAGCTCATGGACTGCGGCGTCGAACTCAGCACGGATCGCGCGACGCGCGACATTCTGCTGCACTACGAGTCCCGAAACTTCCCCCGCAGGCAGATCGGACGAGCACACTCCGAGAATGGAGTGTATGTCCTAGACTTCGACATCCCCGACTGCAGCAGAGACTCGCACGAGTTAATTGAACTCGTGCCACTGCGCTTCGAGCACATTCACCGCAGGGACTGGAAGCACCCTGACGGAAGACCGTGGGTGCCGCACCATCCCCACCCACGCGAAACGGCGCTGCACGACCCTGACACAGATGGCATCTGCAGGGATTGCCACAAACCGACGACGTCAACCAGCGCCGTTGCCGGCCGCGGACTGGCCGCCATCGCCGAAGCAGAAATCCACGTGCCGCCAGAAGAAGGCATGTCTCAATTGGAACTCGAAGTCACCACGCATGGCGTGTTCGGCACCCTCTCATAGGTCCCCCCTCTCAACACCTCCGAGAGATGCTGCGCGGAACGGGCGTCGGCACCTTTGATGCGCGTGGCGTGCCACGACCCTACACCCGCGATAAAAGACTTTCTACAGATTTACCCCCATTGGCGCGACCCCACGGCAAAACTCACCGTGGAACAGGAGGAAGAATTGGCGCGCCGCGAAGCAGAAGAGCTTCGCCAACAGAGCCTCGCCGAGGCACGCGGAACATTCGCTTGCGCCGCATGGGGCGCCGAAGCAGAAGAAAGCGCCTCCAATGAAGGGGGGTGGGGAGGTGGGGGAGTGCCGGCGGGTGGGGAATGGCCGATACCAGCGAATGGGGCAACACCGGCGGAACATGGGCAACCGGAACCGGCGAATGGGGCGCCGCATCTGGCGGCGAAACGAGCGGCTTGGGCGCCCCTGCTGGAGGCTGGGAGACTTCCCGCGAAGAACAAAGGGGGGGAGAATCTGCAGTTGTTCCCCTCGAGCGTCCTCCGCGCCATATCCCACTCGCGTCACCTCCCCCTGACATTCCGCCGCACCGCGATCCCTGGGACACTATCCGCTGGGGCAACGAACCATCAACTCCACGCCGCACCGTCTACGGACCTGCCCCTGAACCGCGCGAACCCACCTTCGTGCCCGGAATTATTCCCGGGACCAACATTCCACTCTCTGAGATTCGTGACAGAGAGTTCCTGGCGCTGATGCTGACCACCGCGGCAGAAGAAGAAGATGCAGAAGAAGCAGCAGCAGAACCTGCTCCCGTACCTGATGAAGACCCTGAGGAAGCCCGCGCGCGCTACATGCGCACTTCCGGCTTTCGCGCTGACGATGCACTTTGGCACCAGCGCCTCGGACATCCCTCACGCGCGACGCTGAAAAACTGCATCGACGCAGGCGTCTTCGCTCCTGGCGCACTCCTGCGCCCTGACGGCACCGAAGTAAGAGGCGCGACACATCCGCGCAACTGCACCGTCTGCCCCGAAGCTGCATTAAGCCACCAGCCGTTCCCGCTGCTCGAGCCAGGAACGAACCGCTACCCCAAGCTGCACAAAGTGTACAGCGATTTTCTCAACGTGGGGCATTGCGGAGTCGACGACGAGCTGTACACACTTACCTTCATCGACGCTGGAACGCGCTATGTGTGGGTCGTGAATGTGGAGACCCGCGACAGAGCTTACGAGGTGTTCCGCCTTGTCAGAATGTTATTCTCTAGCCTGTAGTGGGGTGCTCTATAGCGAGTACAACCCATCTAGGGTTTGCTATATGTATCCTCATTGCTGCTAGTAAAACCTCTCTTTGCCTAAACTCTCTCTTGCCTAGCTAGGGTTTTCCTAGCTATGGCTCCTCATTCCTGCTTCATTCCTCGTTTCTTCACATGGTTTCAGAGCATCTAGGCTCCTGGCCTGTGGGCCCACCTCACTGCTTCCGCTGCTACTGCTACTCTGTGTGTTGCACGCCCCGTG